TATGCACAACAGCAGATTGTTGGAGTGCCTATCGCCTATAAACATATTTCCCAGTTAATTATTAAATTGAAAAATTTTAAACAAATGAAACTGAAATTTTGTTTACCACTCTTAAATGCCTTACTTAAAGGAATTGAAGATAGGTAAATTAATAATAAATTAATCAATATTTAATAATTATAGGTTTATTTAGACAATTTTTGAAGATGAAAATATTTTGGCAACTACGCTTCATCCTTTTTTTAAACTAGATTGGACATGGTTACAAATGGATAAAAATTTTAATAAAAAAAAACAATTAATACAAAGATTAGTTGAGGAATTATCAAAGTCTTCAAATGAGTGTAAATTAACCTGTGAAAAAAACCAATAATTTAATATCCGATTTTTTTAAGTATCCCACAACAGGAGATATGATTGTTAATGATTTAAATTCTGATAATCAACAAATTTTAAATAGTTTTTTCAAAAATAAATGCCGAGATTTTAGTATTTTTAAACAATATCCTGATATAAAAATGTTATTCATTAAATATAACACCACAATACCTTCCAGCGCCCCTGTTGAAAGACTTTTTAGTAGCTAAAAATGTCTTTACAGATAAATGAGGATGTCTTAAACCAAAATTTTGAAAATATTTTATTACTGAAATCTAATAATTATTTATAATCATATATTATATTATTTTATTAATGATATATAATAATTATTTATATTAATCATATATTATATTAATATCTAAAAATCATTATTTTAGTTATATTTTGATAAATGTGATATCGAGTCAATAAATTTTTTAGATCATTTCATGAATTTTCACAATAGAATCCTAATTTAGGTTTATTTAAACCATATCTAAGAGTATAATAAAAAATGTATCTGTATCTAGATACATTTTAAATCGTATCTATATCAAGATAACTTTTTATAGATAAATTTTTAGACTATGTACCTGTATCTAGATCCATTTAAAAAGTATCTTTTAACAACTCTGCAAAAAATTATATGTATTATGATAATATCTCACAAGAAATGTTCACCCAAAAGAATTTTTTTTGAGATAAGGAGTAGGAATAAATGTTAGAGAGATATGGGTTAGAATTAATTAAAGAGAGATATGACAGGGTTAGGTTTATATAAATGGGTATCTTGTATCTATTTTAAAATTTTTGAAAAGATCTTTAAAAATATCTGTATCTTGATCAACTCTGTATTCAAATAGATATTTAAATATTTTCATTAGTTAATTTAATTATTATTAAAAATAAATGGAAAATTTAATCCGAGTTTCGATATTTTAACATAATGTGTTATATATGACGTCAGCATAGAGCAATTTGCTATGCAGTAATAGGCCTAAAACTGTAGAGGTTATTAAAGCAGTTTTAGTAAAACAATTAGTTACAGCATGCTGTAAGAGATGGAATATCATGTTTGATATTTACTAATTTATTAAAATTTAAAAATGAACTACAATAATTATGTGAAAAATTAGAATTTCCAAAACTGAGATATTAAAATGCAATATTTTGATGATTATTTCCATATATTGTCCCGATAGGCTTTAGCTATTGAAAAATACAAGGAGAAATCAACTCCTCTTGTGGAGAATCCGCTCCAATATTAAATGTTAAAAAAAATCCCAAATTTAATTCCTGATCTGTATTTTTGGCTATTGCAATAGAAAATTCTTAAAAAGATATATGAATTTGATAATAACTTTAAAACCGCATTTTTAGCCACTATTTCTCATCCCTACTTTAAAAGTTGGATTGTTTATGAAAAAACACATCTTTAGGATTTTTTAATACACGAAGTATTAATTATTTTTAAAAATAATTTTGAAATTAATGTAAGCAAACTCTTCAATTTATGAAGATGATGATTACTTTTGTTTTAAAAGTACCACATCCATTTCAAATAATTTAGTAAATAATATTGAATTAGAGATCTTAAATTATATGAAAGATGACAAGCGCAATATAAATATGTTAAATAGTTGAAAATATATAAAAGAAATATTTATTAAATTTAACACAATATTACCATCCTCTACCTCCGTTGAACGATTATTCAGCTTCTCTAATATGGTCAATAGACCAAATCGTCAAAGGCTAAAGGATGAATTGTTTGAAAAATTAATAATATTATGTTAATTTATTGATATTTACTAATTAAATTTTTATTCTGAAATTGTTTTCATTATATTAATATACACTTTTTAAAAATATATCTTTATATCGCATTATCTTATATAACAAATTTGTAGTGCTGTAAACATTTTTAAAAAAATCGAACGCGTTCAACGTTCAAGTTCATGTTTAAAAAAAGGAACGCGTTCACGTTCATAAAACCGTTCAAAATTTTATGATAAATTTTTTTAAAACTTAATTTAATATAAATAAACTTATATTTTTAATACAATATATTTTAGCCATGTTAAAAAATAATATAGTTTAATTTTGTAAATATAATTATAATTATAAATAAAATATAATATAATATAGCGAATAAAAAGATATTTTTATTTATAAAAAATTTTTCTTATTAAATTTTAATAACAATTGTTTTCAAAATATTTATCTGATAGACAGGAACACTTGGCAGTTAATACGGCATTAGCTATACTAAAAACACGCTCTACAGGGGCAGATGAGGGGATTGCGGTATTATACTTAATAAACAGCTCTTTTAACGTGGAGAATTAATTAAAAACATATTGTTTTGTTATTTGCAAAAAATTGAGATAAGTTATCCTCCTCCAATCCATTCTCTACTCTCGACAAAAAAAAGGATATCTCGAAATTAACAGTTCTCTAGGGTTTTCTTTTTTTCAATGACGTTATAAGTTTATTATTAATAGGTTCGTTCTGTGGAAGTTTTATCTATGGCCATTGAAGTTTGAATGCTGGATGTATAATTGCAGAAAGAACATATTGATCCTTATATATATGTTCAAATCTTTAAAAAAAATAAAATATAAGTAATTAATTGAGAGTAATAGGTTTAATACCTTTTATTAATCCCATTTAATACGGCGTCTATCAATGGTTGACCATATGAGGCCACTAATTTTTTTAATTTTAAAATAACTATCGTTATTGTTGGGGTAAAATATCCCAAATGCATTATTTCTTCAAATTTAATGATTTAACTTGGTTATATCATATAAAATCAAATAATTAATATTAAAATCAAATGTCTTTTTAAATTGGAACCTGAAGATTTTGACAATATAATACTTTTTGGCCACATTTGACACTGGGTAAGCATTGGATTAGTACTTCAATATAGGATGTTAATGTAAAACATTTATCATATTTGGCCATGGTAATGATAATTCATCTGATTTTGGATTTTCGGAATCAGATGATGAGGATTAAATAATAATATCCATGCTTATGCTAATAAATTAAATTAAAATTTAAACAATAATATTCAAATCAATAAACTATGTGTTAAAAAAATTGAAATGTGAAAAGGAAATACACCGCCGATTAAAAATATAAATAATATTTTTTTTAAAAAAATTCGGAAATATTAAATTTTTCAAATAAATAAAAATAAAAATATTTATAAAATTGAACGAACGTTAAATTCGAACGCGTTCGTCATAAAAAAGGAACGCGTTCACGTTCAAAGTTCGTCAAAAATAAAAGGAACGCCGTTCATCATTTTTTTCAAAAAAAACGAACTTCGTTCACGAACGCGTTTACAACACTACAAATTTGCCATTTTTTATAAATTTATACTATTGCATATTTTATTAAAAAATAAAGCTTGATAATTTTGATTTTGACTATTTAAAGTTTAAAAAAATATATCTTGTATCTTATTGGAAATTTTCCTAAGTATCTAGTAACTTTTATCTTAAATACAAAATTTAAAAAAATCTGAATAAGATTTTCTTAAAATTTGCCCAACCCTGACTATAATACACAAATTCAAATATGAATGATAAAATATTAAATGTATATGATAAATTTCTAATAAACAAATTCAAATATATATGCATGATAAAATATTAAAATATAATATTTGAAAAGAAATATAAATTTTTTAAGCATTTAAAATTTGATATATAAATTTAATAATAGATTAATGCACAAAAATAGAATTGCATGTATATAAACTTAGAAAGTATTCATGGAAAAAGAATATGGTGTATTAAAAAATGGGAAAAATATAATTAAGAATAAGATACATATTATAAATTTATAATGTAAAATTCAATCTTCCTTGGGGTTGAGGTAATTTTTTAAATATTTTATCAGTACTTGGTATCAACTCCCTATGTATATTAAGAAAGGCTAACAAACACTCATTCAATATTCTTCAGAGGGAGTACTTTTCAGTAATGTTGTTAAAAGGCTCGATTTGAGGCGATTTTTAAAAATGGCTATCTCAATATTTTATCTAGAAAAATATTATGCTACTAAAATTTTTAAACTTTCCTCACTCCAAACCCCCTGGAAAAGTGATTAATGAATATTTTAACCTATGCCTTTATATAGTCTACCTTATCCCACATCAGGATTATAGCCTGAAATTATTTGGACAAATCAATCATTTTTATTGATGAATGAATATATAATATCTTAGATAGAAATTAAGCAGATAATTTAACGTTCAAAATGCCAAACTATCATTAAATACCCTGACATTTTTTTAAGATTTCTCTTCATCTATTAATTTGTATATAAAAGCATTTTTTTAAATTGATTTTCATTTTTTAAAATTATAACTTATGTTAAAAATGTTGCTTATTTTTTTTATGATAATTATATTTATATTCATTTAACCATTTCTTAGTCCAGATTCCTTGGCATAAATAATAAATAAATATCGAGAATAAATATAATTTTTCATGAAATGCTTACATATTTCTTGTTAATTTACTGATATAAAATAAATCTAATCATTATAAGAAAAATAAATAATAAGTAGAGGGAAAAATATATAGAAACAATAATATCGTATAATTCAATTATTTTTAAAGACCAGAGCCTCTGACCTGGCCTTTCAAATAGGCAGTCATCATTTGGGAGGCTGCAAATCTTGTAATTTTAGCCCGACCAATATTATCTCGGTCTCCATAGATACAGCCGTCAAATGCATAGTGGACACATTCGTCAAGGTTTCCGGTGTTAGCCGAACTCCGCGGTTTAGATCTCAAAGCTCCTCATTTAAGCCCTTTTTTTTCACCAAACCTACCCCAGAGGCTAGCAAAACGAAAGGTTTTTTTAAAAAAAAATTGTGCATAATTTTTTTTAATCAAAAACACTTTACTATAATGTCGCATTTTTGTCAGAATTTTTTTTGTGAGAATTATCGATGATGGGAATATTTTATCATTTATTAATTTTTGGCTTATGAATTGTAGAATTGAGAAAGCTGACAAACTTTTCTTAGGCAATAATGTTATAAAATATAGTTACATCTTAAATATGTTATTTTCTGACGAAAGGTATACGAACGAACGGGGAAACAGGAATTAACCTCTTTCGAACCATTTATCTAACGAAAACTTTATAAAAAAATTAAAGTTCTATACCTATTAATTATGGCGAGTGTTGTTATAAAAATCCCGATTAGGGTCGATTTTTAAAATGGCCCGATTAAGGTTTTAGCCAAATAATATCATAGCCTCGAGATTTGGCAGATAGAGGTCAAACCTTTCTCCAAAAATCTTCAGGCTTACATCATTATATCATTATCTTGGCGTAAATCGAAATCGGATCGTTTTTAAAAATTGACCCAAATTGGGCTTTTTAACAACACAAATTATGGCTTTGTAAAAAAAATCAAAAACTTATCAATATCGAAACCGACCGGAAGGAATCGATATCTAAACCCGAACGAATTGATATAAATTTGTTGTCCAAATATAACCGGAACTAAGCCGTTTTGAAAATTTAAAATAAGAACCGAACGAATTCAATCGTTATACGGCTTTCATGGACGTAGAATTGATTAATTATGTTTATGTTCAGATAGGGCTTTATGGAAAAATATGAAGATGACAAACTTATCTTATAAATATTTTTTATGTCTCGAATGATGTAATCAAGACAATATGTTTTATCGTATTTCATGGACATTTGTACATAATAATGTTGTATTGAATAAAAAATGAATTAAGGTATTATATAGAATTTCTTCACAGCGCTCACAACACATAAGAAATAAGAAATAAAATAATTATATAATATATGAAATCAAGAATATTATATAGAAACCATCATTATTACTTGTAGTGTTGTTAAAAATCCCGAGGTGGGCCGATTTTTCAAAACGGCTCGATTAAGATCTTAGCTAAAATAATATTATGTAAGCATCAAGATTTGACAAATTGATGTCCAAGTATATCTGCCAGCTATGAGCAAAATCTTTAGGCTAGCATAATATTATTTTGGTTTTAATCGTAATCGGGCCGTTTTATTAAATCGACCCGAATCACGGTTTTTAACAACACTATATTGGTTATATATTTTATAAACAAAATATATAAACTCTGGAATTGGATAAAGATACCATAGATGACGATGTTGTCGACGGGAGGGAGGATATAGCTTTGCAAAATGTTCAAGCACGGATGAGAATGGTTCTTAGCTATTTTTTCGCCCAATTAATCAGATGGGCCCAACACAAACCAGGTTCTTTGCTAGTGCTAGGCTCCTCCAACGTAGATGAATGGTTCATTTTATAATTTTCCTAAATGATCGCCTCCCCCCTTTTTTTAAAGTTAGTCTTCTCTCATGCGATAATGATCAATATAGTTATTAATTTTGGTTAAAATGTTATTAAATTATTTATATACATATTAATTCTTCGTTTCAAAGTTTGAGAGGATATATGACAAAGTACGATTGTTCCAGCGCTGATATAAATCCCATTGGGGGCATAAGCAAATTAGACCTAAAACTGTTCCTCCAATATTGTCATAAGACTTTCAATCTTACCTCTTTAGCCGAAATACTGAAAGCTAAGCCCACGGCTGAGTTGTGCCCTTTAGGTTGAATTTTATTTAAAAAAAATAACAAGAAATACGGAAATTCTGAAAAGAGTTTCGAAGGAATTCCCATATATTATTCAAGAATATTACACAGTTCAATTTCAATAAAATTTTAAATTAACCTTAGAGGTTCTTAATTCATATAGTAGTGCTACAAAGTTGACATACACAATTTGGGCTTTTATTAAATATTTATTTTAGAAAATACGCGTACCAGTTTAAATTGGTTATAATATAGGGGAAAAAATATTCTAGCAAATTTGTTGAATTAAAAAAAAATTGTTTTCTTTTAAGTATGACTTATGTGCGCATAGATTTCCCAGACGTTATTAAAACCTAGGGCTCTGCCGATCCACAAACCTTAACTGATACACTCTAAATTTTCCCGATATTCATACAATCGAACTGATAACCGATCTGATATTTAGATTAGTTTTTATTTGCCATCTATCTTTAAAGTCATAAAAATCTATGTTTTCTAAGGCAAAAATTTTTAACCAAAACAAGGAAACACATTGAAATTTTGGGTTTCTATGGTGAATTATCGATTGATTAAATATATTTTGGTTTTTAATTCCCCCAAAAGTTAATCTTCTTATTTAAAATATGGGCAATGTTTATTAACGATTATAATGACTCGTTAAATATTTCTAAATCCTATTCTGGTTGCAAAAACAAAAATAATATCTCATTTTTAGCAAATTTTTCTTTTTAATGCGATTTTTTTTTTAAACATAAGACAATTAAATTTTTGTTCATTTTATTAATTTTTTATTAGGAAATTTATGTGTAAATTAAACAATATTGTTAATAAAATAATCATAAAATAACGCAAAACAATGATAATGTCCCTATTTTTTAAAAAAATAATAGCCCGGATCTGATATTCAATTTCTGCACATCCCTAGCAAAATTTTATATAATTATCGAATAATAATTTTTTTTTAGAAAACAACGTATCTTTGCTCAAGAGTTTAGAAGTTGATGGGTTTTAAAAGTCCTTAAAATATATAAAATAAAGAACGAACATGGTTATTCCAGGCCGAAAATAATTTAAAGATGGAAGAAAATAAAATATAAGAAAGAAATACAATTTTCTTTATATAAACCTATGCAGATTCCGAAGGTACGGTAGTTCAAAGCGACGAGGAAGAGATGGGTATGACTTACGAAGAGCTCAGTGTTTATGGTAAACTTAGGAAACAAAAAGTTTGCGGCCCTTATAGCATGTTTGTAAAACTTCTCCAGACATGGGGTACTCTTTACCCACCTAAACAAGTTTTTTTTAAATCTATTTACACATAATTTAGTGACGAAGCGTCTATAAAACCAAGGGAACCAAAACTTTTATTTCTATATTACATTTATAAATGAGTACTATTTTTACTACATTGAAAAAATATTATTTTCGGGAAGTAAATTGGAAATGTCTCCTTTTCAATAAATAAATAAAAGAAAAAAAATAATGACAATACGAAAATATTTTTTTTAGTATGATCATTTTTTTATTACCTTAAAAAAGAATTAACATTAGAGAAACCAAATATAAAATCGCATATTTTTTTGTTTAATAAATAAAGTGAAAAAAATTGAAATCTTTGAAGGTTTTTTATAATAATTTTTGTAGAAAAAATTTACTTATAAAAAATTTTTTCAATATTTTTCAAAATCTGATTTATGTTTAATAAAAAGAAGAGTTCGGAGAAACAAAAAAAAAAATGCTTATTTTTGTTTAATAGATAAATTATTGAAAACCAATAATAAATTTAAAAATAAAATTTTGCTTGATCTGAAGAAAATTAATAGCTTATGTTAATAATTTATACTTGTAGCTTTGTATTAACCTACGCATTTGCAGTTTCGATGGAGGTTTCGGTTTCGGTGTTTTTTTAGACAGTGATTTAAAAAGGTTGACCAACACTAAATTTAAAAAATTTGTTAAATAGAGATTTTTTATCCTACATATACAGAGCTTTTATCCTGCATATACAGAGCTAAATTTTTATCTTTTTTTAAAAAAGGATAAAAAGAACATATATATTTTTTTAAAAGAGGAACTATCAAAATTTGATTAATTCAATCTATTGATTTTAATTGAAAAAGAAAATATTACATGAAATTTTATAATTTAGTTACTTGAGCATTTTACTCAAAATAATGACGAATTCCGCTTATTTATAAATATAAAAATTTTGTATGTTTTTGACTAATAAAAAATTACCTCCTCGATTTAAACTTGACACTTCGTCACTGAATATTATAAAATTCTATTAAATTTGACAATGAATAGGTGGAGGCGGGATTTTCGTCCCTTTATTTAATTTATTAAAATTTTATATTATCTATATCTATATTTTAAAAACAAAAATATATAATATATAAAAATATGAAAGATTGCCCAAAAAGTGAAATATTTTTTCGTTTACTATTCCATAAATCGCCACAAAATGACCGTTTTAACGCCCTCTTTTTACGCCGAATCGTATTCGCCGGATGACAATAGATTCGATCAAAGGCAGTTCCTCTACAATATCAAATGGACTTGGCAGTTTAGGTGCATAGATAAAATGGTATAAAAAAAATGTAGTATAATTTTTTGGAAAATAGAAATAAAGTGGGTGGAATGAGAAATAGAGTAGATAAAATATTGAATTTTGATTTAATCATATTTTGCTCGCATACACAAAAAAATTAATAATTTCTAGGTAGAAGAAATGGAATCTCAAGTGGGAACTAAAGATAACAATAGCCATCAATCTTTATCGAAAATGTCAAACTTTGCTGATATAATTCCAAATTTAAACCACACCAGTTCTTTTAAAGACACTCTCACTTTGGGTGAGCTCGATGGAGATAGGGAGGAGAGTGAAAATAGTTCTAGGAAAGGCGCAGTAAAACCATCAAGGAAGACTAAAAAATTACATTAATTTAATTTGCAAATTTGTAATATTCAGGGAAATTTTTTATTTACATAATTTACAATTAGAAAAAAAATCGTAAGCATTTATCAAGGCCGCGTATTTATGTTATAGAGAATAGGATACTTTTGTAAAATTCTAAAGTGTCATCAAATCTATATTTGAATATTTTACTAGACTATTACCATATTCTTTATAAAAAATACTTTTATCTTTTGCAATATTATTTTTATTTTCCCAATTTGTATTTATTAATTTTATTTATTTTTTTTAAATTTAAATTTTAGATAAATTTAAAAAAAAAAGTTAATCGAATAATTAAATATCATCATTTTTGAGTAATATTCTACTATATTTTAGTTAATCCGGCCATTGTAGAATTTAAGTATTAGGTGCATGAACGATAATAACTCAATGCTATTAATCCTTGTTCATTTAAAAAACCATTTTTAAATGTTTCTATTAAATGAAAACAATACTACCTTTAAATATAGCAAATTGTTAGGACTTAAAATCTGGGGAAAAAGGTTCACGTGATTTATATGAGTTTTAATTGGGATATTTACAACCAATTATATATAGTTAAATCGTATATCTCGTTCAAATAAAACGAATTTTATTTTTTAATATATAATCAAAATTATTTTATATGTAATATTTATTACAAAAAAATAAATAAGGCACTAAAAGTTTTTTTAAAATTTTAGACCTAATATATTCTTGGTGTATTTTGCTTATCATTTAATAAAAAATATGTATATCTTTTGAATTGTAAATTTATTATTGAATATAGGGAATTAATATCATACTATAATTTGAAAGTTATTATTTTATACTACTTATTTTTATGCCGTGTGATTTGTTTTTATAAATTTTGTGAAAATTTATCGGATTTATTTATAATAAACTTACATCTTTTGATAAGTATCAATTTTATAATGTCAGGTAATAGCTTATGAAAAAACTTATACGATTACAAAGAGATCCCATTACCTTTTATTATGACGTAAAGCAATATTTGAATTTCTCTCTTACTACGCTCTTTCCTACCACCCTCCCTTACTAGAGACTTACACGTTATTTTCGGCCCTAAGCCTGTTGGAAATTTTTTTTACTCTAAGCTTGGCCCTTGATTCGGTGCTTTAGGGCTGACTTTTAATAAATCCTCAAGATATTTATTTTCATTGAATTTAAATTAGCAATTAATGATAATTTCATGATTTATATGAAATTTGTTACAAATTATTAAATGAAAAAGTCACTTTAAAACTTTTCTTGTTTTTTTTAAAATTTTTTATATTCAATACTGCAAAATAAGAAATTAGAAAAAAAATGTAATCCGGGCCGAGTCTATATTTTGCTTATGTACCGCGGGACGAATGGAACGGGCTGGCCATATCACCAATTTGTAACATGTTTTACTCTTTTTATTATTATGACCTTAAGTAGCATACCTATTTTATTTTTATAAATTATTTACATTAGGGCTATGTCCTAGCCCGTCTTTGACCGGGGGGAGTGTAGCCTGGGAATCATAAATGGCGCCAAATCAGAAATTCCCATGAATCACAAATAGTGGTGAGTAACAAATGGCGATGATCACAAATCATGAGATATCAGATTTAAAAAAAATAAATATAGGTATGGGGCTGATCAGCAGGAATGAAGGGGAATAATGTCAGGACAGCTTAAATAAGGTAAGATTCAGAATATAGATAATTTTATTTAAATTATAAAAATATAATACTATGTGTTGTTATCTCGATCTGAATATAATAAAATAACGAAGCATACATAGTTTTTTTAGTGAATTATACAAAATAATCAGCATAAACGAATATTGTTCGGGGAGACGAATTGGAAAATTTCAAAAAAGCTAAGATTCTTGCGAATAAATGCTAAAATATATATATATATCATCATATAAAATAGCAACCATATATTTTTTTGTACTGAGTAAAAGAAGATTAACAGTAGCAATAATGGTAGGTGCGACGAAATGGTAAGTTTTAAAAAGGTAGGATCCTTAAGAATAGATATATAATTTGTATTTGGGGAAAGAAAGGTAAATGAAAAAGAAGGGAACAGAAGAAAAAGATAATAAAGAAGAAAACTGGAAGAGAAGGAATAGGAAAAAAGGGGGAAATGAGAAAGCTAAGAAAAGGTATAGGAAAGGAAAGGTGTTTGGGGAAAAAAATGGGAAGGAAAAGAAAAAGCGTTAGAAAAGAAGGATTCCGTTCTTAATCGCTAAAATAAAAATAGCTAAATCAAAAATAAATTGGGAATCTTGCTTATATATCAAATTTTTTAAAGTAAATTTAAAATTAATATTAGACACTAAGGAAGTAAATTCTTGAATTTAAATTAGAGTTTTTCGAAAAATCGCTAGAAATGGGAGAAATAAGGACTCATTTTGAATATGAATGTTACTCCTAGCATTTATTAATATTATTTTCAATATTGCCTTAAAATTTTTAGCAGATAGAAATGAAATTTATAATTTCTAAGGGCAAGGGGGAAAAAAAAGGTGAAATGAAAAAGAGAAAGAAATATGTAAAAGAAAAGAGAATTGGAAAACTGAAGAAAAGAGAAAGTAATAAGTGGAATTAAAAGGGAAAGAAAGGAAAATAGAAAAAAAAGGAATATGGAAAGGAAAGGTGAGAGGGGGAAGGAGAAGGGTAATGAAAAGGTAAAGATAAGGGGAGAGTAAGAAAAAGATAATAGAAAATAAATGGAAAGAACAGGTAGAAGGAAAAGGAGAATGTAAGAAAAGGAAAGGAAAATAAAATTAAAAAAAGCGAAAAAAGGAATAGGGAAAGGAAAAGAAAAGGGAAGAAGGGGAAAGAAAAATGATAAGGGAAAAGGATATAGAATTAAAGGGAAATGTAAAGCGAAACGGAAAAGACAAAGGAAAAGGGAACAAAGAAAGAAATAAAAATGAGACAGAAAAAAAAGAGTAGTGACTAACTTTATTTTGTATGGTTGGCAGAATTTGTTAGATTTCGTGATCCCTAGAACGTATATTTTGTTGATTAACCATCCATCTCTTTCTTTGTTTGGCAACGACAGATAAATCAAAATTTGCACATCATTAAGAGGGGTTAAGACAGTCTATTTTTCAAAGTAAAAACAAAAGAAAAATATGAAATATAATAATGCAATGAACCTGCAGAGGAGTCATTATTAAGTTCAACTCTCTAGCAATATATCATTAGATTATTCGTAATGCTAAAACAGATGTAATATAAATGTAAAAAGGTATAAACATGTTCAAAAAATTATAGAACTTATAAAAAGTAATTAAACATTATGCACTTTTTGTATATATATATATATATGACTAACTTTATTCTGTATGGTTGGTAAAATTTGTTCGATTTCGTGATCTTTGGAAAGTTTGTTTTATTGATTAACCAGCCATCTCTTTCTTTACTTGGCAACGATAGATAAATAAAAATTTGTACAATCAATGAAATGAGTTAAGACAGGGCCTTTTATCTAAGATACAAACAGGAAAAATTTTAAAAATAATAGTGCACTGAACCCCCATAGGAGTCACCATTAGATGTGTCTTTTTAATTGATATCTAAAATACATATATATAATTTACTTCAAATCGGCACAACATTGTAATTAAAATTTCATGCGTAACCAATGATATATATAACTATATCATTGTGTGTAACCCATTAACAATATTATATTTTACTTCAAATCTTCACAACATTGTAATTTCTGATAAAATATTTACATTTTTTTTTGATATTTTTAAATAAGGTATTTATTTTTATATTTTTCATCATATTTTTAAAAAAAATAAATATATATTTTCCGATGATATGACGTCAGCGAGGACATCGGAAAATTATAATATGGATATTTGTTTTTGATTTTGCAGAACATCAAGTAAATAACCTATAGAAAAATAACATTTTTTTGTAAAAAATTATCACTTTTAAATTATCCTTTTTTTTAAGAAAGTGACCTTTTTGCTTAATTTATTTTAGAAATCTGCACCCAGCCAGAAACTCGGGTCGAAGTAGGCCTTAAAATAATATGATTTTGAAAATTCAATCCACAGGACTTATAAATTAAATTAGAAGGTGGGACAAAATTTATATTTTTACAAAACTACCCGGGCTAGTCAAAATAATTGAAACATAAATCCGAGCTGGCTTGAGCTAGAATAAATTTTTAGAAATCCCGGAAAGTCAGACATATAAATTAGAGCTTTGTGGTATCTGATTTTTATAAAGGCATAACCTTAAAAGTCAATGTCAATCAACTCTACGGTGGCCTTTTTATCTATAGTAGTTAGTAAATTAAATTTTTGTAAAAAATAAAATAAAATAGATTCTTTGAACCTACATACGGGAATGAATATCTCGTCTTATAATGTGTGCAACATTTTCCCCCAGAATATATTTTTTTTTTAAAATAGGATAATCAATTTCATTTTTCAGATCTAATTCAGGTTATTATAAAAAAATATTATATTTATTTAAATGGCTTAGTCTTGGTATACAGTAAAATTTATAATAAATTTGGTATGATACCATATAAGAAAAGATTATATTAAAAAAAACATTTTTTAAAAAAATCATCTGCTCTGCATTAATAAAAAAAAAATTATGTTTAAAAATTTTAGTCATTGGCCAACATCTTCCCATCGGTGTTCGGTTGCTATTTTTAAAAATTATGGAAAGCATTTCGCAGCATCACATTGAGTCCTTTAATTTTGCATGTGAGGAAGGCTTGAATAAATTAATAGAAGTAAATTGCTCTTGAATTTTCAATGATTTAATTTATCTTTAGGATATCCCAGCTTTTGATTTTCAACTACCAGATTTATCGATATGCACTTTCAAAATTGAAGTAATATTTTTCTTAAATTGACCTAGTAATAATGAATATAAAATATAGGATGCGAATATAAGCACACCTATTTATAAAAGTTTTACAAAATCAAATAAAATTATGCCCAGAGATGTATGTTTTACATAAATTATAATAGAAGAATTCATTATTTATATAGTGTAGGCAAATGAGATCTACTTATGGTGCAGAGCTTAAGATTAACATATCATGGCATATTAATGGCCTATATAATGGTTCTCTTTCAAAAGTTATTGGACTACTTCCTATGATGATTAAGGTAATATCAAGATTTAATTTTTAAAAAAATGCTTAATTTTTAGTCAAATCATTGTCATCTTTCAAAAATTCATAAAGAAGAAGAATTGATAAAATTGGATGAGGAATTTAGTGAATTTGGTGGCTATTTTATTATAAATGGTATTGAAAAATTAATCAGGCCTATATTGATCCCAAGAAGGAATTTTGTAATATTTAAATATTATTTAATGGATTATATTTTATTTAACAAATATAATTTAATAGCACAAGAGTACAATTTTATTTCAGATTTATCACTTATTAAGATGATCCTTTCAATTTATAATTTTAACATAATTTAAAACATAAAATTTTGGCCTCCTAGCTTAATAATTAGTGTTTATAAAAATTTCAAAACATTTTTGCCAAGATCTTAGGAAATCCTCTAGTGTAACATGGCTAATTAACAATTGTGAATTGTTCATCGATCCTGATCTTCTCATTTTTGGGACAAATATACCCTGGAGGACAGACCATTTTTTAAACTGATTTCTTAGCAATAGGACATAAGACTGATGCTATTTTAATGAAAATTTTAAAACTAATGTCCCAATACAAATTTTTAAACCTGAAACACTCTTCTTTAAATTATAAACAATATATAATAAAGGAAAAAATTATAAACAAATAAAAATATATGAATCCAAGGAATCAAATATGTTATCATTATATAATATAAAAATAAATTGTTTTCATTCAATTGTTGTGATCTAGTATTTGAAAATTTAATCTACTCTTCACCCAAGAATCTGGCCTAATCAAACATTACACTTTTTGGAAATATTCAATATTTTTGCTTACCAGTCCTGTTTTTGAGGAAACTTTCACATAACACTGGCGTGCATTATATATGTAAATAATTTCTAACCATTCTGACAAAAAAGAAGATATTCATTGATTTATTCATATTATAATTTGTATTCCTACTTATATATTTTTTTAATGAAAATTTAAAAGACCAAAAGTAACAAAAGATTCTTAAAACACTGAGTTTATGATTTAAGAAACTTATATGTGTAAATTATTATAATATTGTTTTTCTTTTAATAAATACATTTGCAATATATTTATATTCGTGGAAATGCACTTGTGATAATGACTTCTCGCATATACACCCGTGGCAAAAAATCGGCATAGAGGTTTTGCGATAAAAGCTACGCTATAATGGAGTTGCAATAAATGTTTCTCTAATATGTATTCGCTGAAATAAATTCGCGATATTGCCTTCATTATAAATGTTCGTAATTGATTTCGCGATATGATTTTTGCTCTAAAATTCTTTCGCGCTAAACTATATTCGCGATAAAAGTTTCGCAAAAATGTGTTTCTCGATGAAATATTTGCTGAATTGACCTGATACGCATTTACAGTAGTAGCAATTACTATTCGTCAAACCATAAACATCCAAATAGTTTTTTATGAGAATAATGTCAAATTTTTAGCATTATAATTCAAGTTCATTTCATTTTTTATATAAAATATCACGTATTTTTAAAAGCCACGTTCATTTTTTCATTTTTGACCTCTGACTCTGAAATCCCAGTAGTCTGTTAAACGGCTCTATTTTTAAAAACGACAAACCAATATTTTAGCCAATAAATATTACACAAGCCTCAAGATTTTGTTAATAGATGACCTAATTTTTCTGCCATCAATGAGCAAAATCTCGAATCTTGGGTTATATATTTTGGTTAAAATATTGTATTAGCCGTTTTTAAAAATCGAGCCATTTGACGACACTACTCACTCAGGATCTATTCTTTTGGTAGGAGGCTAAAATCTTGGATTTAATAATTTCCTATCAAAGTTGGGAGGTTCGTGTTAAAGGGATCTATTTATTTATGGAATTGCTTTTAAATGTTTTTTTTATATTAAATTTAATTGCTAAATCACATCGACAAATTAATTTCGAAATTTTTTGATAAATTAAAGCCAATCGCTCTTATTAGGCCCACATGGAAGAAAAATGGGATATGTTACACTGAATATGGGCTCGTCTATAATTCTGTCAGAAATGAACACACCTATTCAGTGAGCTTTAATTTTCATATAATTAACTACAAATAAAAATTAAACATAAGATTATTTGTATTGTCTACCATTACACAAAAACTGAAGCACTATAAATAAAATTCGAAAACACTCGGAAGAAAAAATACTGAATGCTTAGAATTATTAGTATTGTTAAAAAACCCGATTCGAATCGATTTTTAAAAATTTTTAGCCAAAAGAATATTATGTAAGCCTGGAAATTTTGCTTATAAATGGCAGAAAGATTTGGATATCTATTTGCTAAATCTCGAAGTCTGTGCATAGTAATTTTGGCTAAAATCCTAATCGGGCCGTTTTTAAAAATCGACCCAGATCGGGCTTTTGAACAACACTACTTAGAATGATCTTTTAAAGATTATAGGTGGGAATTGTTACTGATGAGTAATTTTAATATATATAAGCGGAGATGTTTAAATTTAAAATTAAAATGCTAATAAATCGCCCAGAATCAAACCGAATTTTTTTTTAAAATATATATTTTTGGGTTCAAAATCCTAAATGCTTTATCTACTTAATTTTTTTTTAAAGATATGGGTATAAACGTCACTTTTATATCTTTTCTATGATGTATAGAAAAACTTTTTCTACCCTTGACCTAGGGTGTATTAAAAAAAACTTTTTCGGCCCTTATTATGAATTTCTTATGAGATCCCACGACATGTTTAATATTAATACCCTTTTCCCAGCGAAAGCATTTGTTTTCTGTCCGTACGAAAACCACAATATCAATTGGTAATATATTGGTTGCGATGACATGTAATGGAAACATTTTAATGAGCACCCGTCATGGTTGACATTCTTGGTATTGGCTTGTTGCAGCATTCTTAGTAGTGATGTGGGCAGTATTTTTTAATCTTTAATATCTTAAATACTCATACATTGGTTTTTATTGTTCAAATGTGATACATTGGCCATGACATATATGAGTGAAAAAAAGACTTCATTTTATAATTACTTGGCTCTGTTTTGACGGTCTCATTGATTTTGGTTTCATCATTAGGTAAATAACCTTTATCGGATAAGGTGTCTTGATCTATTCAATATTTGGATGCTACTGTAAGACTAAAATTGGACAATGAGGGTGATATCTATGAACATTTGTAGGAAGTCCCTTTCTATGGTCTATCTGATGATCCATCTTATTTTGTAATTATAATTAGACAAAAAAACGAATGATTATTATACTTTATCCGCCATACGACAGACACAAATGGGTGCAACGATAAGAATGTTGTGATCACTTCTGGACCCATAGCCCCTAGACAGGTTATCATGGATGCAATCTTTCTTATGCATCGTATACAGGTCTATAATGAGCCGTAGTCATCTGCAACATTAAAAAAATTTATTTTTTTAAGTGCTTCAGTTTTTCCTCTATCTAAATCTAATTTAATTTACTTCTTATTATTTAATTATAATAAATATTAAATGTCATAAATAATATGTATATATTTAAAAAAATATATATTAGAACATGATCATGCATTATCTTAACAATGGAAGCATTGTGGTCAGCCTGTTTTTCCAGAATCAAAAATTCACCCTTCCACTTATACCAATTTTAAAAGTTTTAAAAACATTTCATGATGATTATTTTTCCTATACGCTAATAACACCATTCCAGGGATCCAAACCGAAACGAATATCGGTTCCGGTTCTGGTTCGGATAAAAATAACGGTTCAGGTTCGGTTCGGTTCGTAAAAATTAAAATATCGGTTCGGTTCGAACCTCTAAAAACCGGTTTTTGAACACTTTTGTATTCAAACCTACATTCGAATTATGTATAAGGGAAATATTTTTTTATTATCATTAATTTAAAAAATACATGTATAAAACCTACATTTTTATTAATTGCATATTATAAAATAATATTTAATTTATAAATATAAAAATAAATATCAATGATTAATTTTAATATGAACAATATTTTACTTTTTTTTTACTTAAATTTTTTTTATTAAGCCGCGCAATTAATATATTTTCAAAATTCGTCCCACTAAAATTACATCGGAGATAGTATAAATTTAATTGTTGAAAAACATTTTTCCACAGTCCACACTAACTTGGGTAGCCTGCATTGACAATGATATCAGATTTGATATGTGATTTATAATAATATTTTGGAATTAATTTTTCTCTAAGCATTAATTTATAAGCTTAGAAGAAAATGTTGTTAAAGGACAATTTACTAAAGTTTACAAAAATTATGACCGACACTTATCAAACAAACGTGATTGATGATTTTAAAATAATTCGAAAAATTGAAATTTTTTCAATATACTAATAATAACTTACATATTATTTTATAAGCACAAAATCATGAGGCCCAAACCGGTTCAGAGGCATTTTAGCGGTTCGGTTCAGGTTCGGTCAGAATTTTTTTAGCGGTTTAAGTTCGGTTCAGGTTCGGTCAGAATTTTTTTAGCGGTTTAGGTTCGGTTCAGGTTTGATAAAAAATACCGGTTTTTAGCGGTTTAACGGTTCGGTTTGGATCCCCGCACCATACTCTAAATGTACAACCTAGGATAGTTAAATCATCTCTATTTGTAAACCTAATTTTTACAATTTTTATTAAAGCTTTGCTTCTTTAAACTTTATAAAATTAAAGTTTTTATTTGTGTATATTAATACTCGAATTTTTAGACCATCTTTCTAAAATTTTGAGTTATAATATGAAAAATATGCTTTATTGCAACATTGAAATCCCATAATTATTTTAATTTATATAATTTACCACATTTTTCATATCTGCTTACTATGTCTTCCAAAATAAATCAATTTTATTTCCTTAGACTAAGAAAAATGGAAATAAAAAAAAGAAGAAAGAAAAATATAAGGAAATTTATTAATTCTTTTAATACTATAAATTATTTTGGTTCAACCTAATATATATTTCGTTGTTGTATTGTAAACTTTACTTACATACAAACCTATTAATAAAATACTTTATTCATTTATAAATATATAATTTGTACATTTGATTTTTTTTAACAAGGCCCTCTCGAACAAAACGGATAAACGGCTTTACACCGAATTGGTAAAGGGTCAACCTATTTATGAAACATCAGTATCTTCCTCGGGTGAGAAAGATATCCACAAGTTTTACAAAAGTTGCGTTTTGAACATGCTAAGAAAATACAGTCTAACCCTACATAATTCCTCTACTATTCCTACCTCTTTCAAGAACAAATTAAAATTTGAAGAATTGATGCCCCCAAGGACTAAAGAAAGGAATGAAAGAGATAAAGCCCTTAGTTTGATAGGTTCCCAGTTTAGGAACAAAATTTTGCCCGTAACCCCGAACCAATTTAACAAGGTCAATTTGCTTAATCCGGTTAATATCAGGCGGCATATAAAAGCTAAAAAAATTTTAGATTCTAGAGAAAACAAGGAAAATTTAGAAAGTGATTTTGATTTGAATACCCTAGATCCTGTCAGTATGAAAGATTTGGAAGACGAGATAGTTGGGAAATACTTGTTGGAGTAAAATAAAATAATTTAGATTTATTATATTTTCTTTTCACTACTATGGGTTATGGCTTAATCGGAGCGGATTTATCGATCTAGCTTATTTTAACAAATATTTGAAAATTAATTAACATGGAAAAACTCTCAATTCCTGATTGCACAAACCCTTCAGTTAAGCCCTTGCTTATGATATATTTTACGTTTGTAATAAAATGTTTATTAATTCACATTTAATATGAAAATATTTTATTATACTTTACCTCACTATTTATTTCAAAAATGGTCGTTATAATTTTTTTATAGTTAAAATAAATAAAATGTATTACTGATAAAGATCAATCAACAAGGGTCGAAAAAAGAAATTATGTTGAAATATTATTAGGTTTTCTATTCAAAAAAGAGAAAAGTCTGATCCCAAAAAGGTCCTATCAAAAAAGGAAAAGAATTTATTTCTTATAATCTTTAATTATCTTTTCTTTTTTAAAACAATTTCTTTTTTCACCCTGTTATCATTTTTTATTTTTCCTTTTTTCTTCTTTATATCATTCTAATTACAGGAAATAAATTCGTCCCCACCCTCTGGTTTAGTTTAAAAAAATCGAATATTTCTGTCAGTTCCGGTCCGAGATTTAAGGTCTGCAGGTACTTGGATTATATTAGAAAATAATTTACCTATCGCCTGTTTTTGTGGTTCAAATTAATTTATTTTAAGAATGTACAACCATTAATTTATTTTCCGCGATATATCCAAAAATTAATTTTACCTACTATAGCGGCTTAGGAATCGAAGGGCAAATGTTGATTTTTTTTTATTAAACACTGATATAAAATACACTTACCAAAAACATAATTATAAAAATACACGACCTAAATAATATTTTAAGAGTTTTTTTCCCCCAACAATCATGGCGTTCGATATAGTTTTATATTTAAATCTCGATTGGCAGTCCAAACTCTTAGAGTATTTAATGAAATTCTTCTTCTTCTTCTCCGTTTTATGGCGATTTCCAGGTTTACCCGGTTAGGCCAGTTTTCCCTCTGATTTTTCTTTTCCATTTTTGACGGTCCTCAGCATCAATACTTGTAAGATTCATGTTTATCATATCCACCGCTATCACATTTGTCCACGTCATCTTGGGTCTTCCTCTAGGTCTTGATCCTCCTACTTCCATCATTGTGCATCTCTTTACCCAGTCATCTCTTTTCATACGTTCAGAGTATTTAATGAAATGAATGTCAGATATTTTTATCGCCAAAATAAATTATGAAATTGTATTAACAAAAAGAAAAAATCTAAATGTATTTTTTATTTGTTTGTAAAACACAGCAATGCCCTTCTCCTAAATTTCGATTCGGACATGGACAAATTTTACATGTTAATATACATGACCCAAAAAATTTTCTCCTTCGCCAAAAATAAATGCTGGCCCGAGCACGTTGATGGACCTTCCATGCAAGAAGTATTGCTACCGGGTCAAGTATTTCTCATTCTTTTAAAGCAAAAGCTGATGGATTACATATTTAGGTTATAAATGAATTATGCATTGGTTTGGGGAAGGGGGGGGGCGTATAATGGGAAGGGAAGGGTGTGGAAAAACGAGGAGAATGATATGAGGGACGGAAATAATGAAGAAAATATATATATTGAGGAAATAAAATTTAAAAAAGTCATACATTCTTCTCTCTAGGCTCAAGCAAATTTTGCTCAAAAAGGTTGAAAATATTCATCCCACCCTCTACGATAAAAGGCTTTCCAAAAAATGGGTCAAAGCGGAAACGCAGGATGTCAAAACGGAAACGCTAGATATCAAAACCGAACCCGATAATAAAACATTGAATGTAAGTTTAATAATAATTAAAAGATTATAATAGGTAACATGAATTTATATTTATCTCCGTTTACTTGAAAAATGTCATGTATAATATAAGGCTTATGCATGTCATAATAACTATATAATATTTGTGGCGTGATATTATATAAATTCCTATCTAATATAATTTACGAATTTCATACTATACTTTTCAAACTAACCAGAATGATACGCAGTAATGTAACATACACATTACGCTACTGATTAAGTGATCATATCATAACCTAAAAATGGTTAATTATAAAAATAAATTAATAACCTACGAAATCATTCCTTAAAGAAACAAACAAATAAATGGCCAACTTCTTTGTATACATTTACCCAAAACTCACGACGAGGAAAATAATAAGAAATTTAAAATAATAAAGCATGGAGAAAAATTATAAAAGGAAAAAATAAGTTAAAGAAATAGAATGTTTAATATCCAGTGCTAGATTAGTTAAAAGGCTCAATTTAAAAAGGTGAACCCAATATTTTAGCTAAAAAATATTTAAGCAAGCCTGGAGATTTTGTGAATAGGCGGCAGAAAGGTATGGGCATCTATTAACGAAATCTCAAGGCTTGTATAATATTTTTGCGAAAATATTGGGTCAACACTATTCAGGGTGGTATGCTAGCGTTATTGTAATGGCGTTCCTTTTTTTTGAGGAAAAAGAAATGTAATTGGTTAATTACGTTACGAGTATCACTTTTAGTAACTACATTAATCTTTTTTTACAAAAAAAATGAAATTTTTTAGCCAAGTTTCAGATTAAAAATTTAAAACATAGCATTTTATTTTTGCAATTTTATTTTTGAACATTTACAGCTTCATTTTTTTTTCTTCAAATTTTATCAAGAACCGGGGGATCAAATTAATATTAATTCCTGGATAAATGAATTTATACTATCCTATATTATTATTAAATTTACTAAAAGAAAAATTTTATATTTGAAAAAATCTATTAACGATAATGTCACTTCCTCCCATCCTTTTTTAAAGTAATGAGAGAAGTAAAAAAAAGGTTTACAATGATATTAATGTTGTTAAACTGCTAACTCAATATTTTAGCAAGGGATATTAGAAAAGCCCGGAGAGTAATTTTTGGATATCTGTTAACAAAATCATTTGGCGAAAATATAGAGCTAACCGTTTTTAAAATTCGAGCCGTTTAACAACATACCAATCAATAAAGTTTTAAATTTAAGCAAAAGTAACGTATTTTAATAAGATGCACATGCTTCTACATAATATTAGCAAAAAGCATTTCTTAAAAGTTTTACACATACATTTTAATTTATCACCTTAAAAGTGACCTATAATTTTTACATTTTTTATAAATAAATTTTTTTATAGATAACATCCTTATTAATATTTTTATCTTATTGCTTTTCCTTCAATGAACGAACCTAAGATCAAGCCAGAACCCAAAATCTTACAAAAAACTAACGGTAATGCTTCCATATACCAAGAACTCATAACTAACGAGTTTGTCTCGCAATGCTTAAGCCTTGTCAGTCCGATTACCAAAGGGATGGAATATTTTTTCTCTACTGGCAATTTGATCTTTAAAGAAGCTACATCCATTCAACAGGTATAATATTTAGATTTTTTTTATCATTATTATAAATATGACTGTTGTTAAAAGTTACTTTTGAAAAGTGACTATTTTTATGTTATATCAACATAAAGTTAGCCAATTACAAGTTACATCCTTAAAAAATGTAACTACTTATTAGTTAGAAATCGCTTAAAATTGGTCTTTAAAAATAAGATAGGACATGGCCCGCTCACAATAGACCGACCATTATAGCTGACAAGAAGATAAATTATATACTCTGAAGAATAGAAAAGAGAAAGAAAAGAACAAAATAAACATATAAAAAATGAAACTTTTAAATATAAATTATTAAATTTCTAATATATTTAAGACATCTGGTTACACCATTATAGCCGAAAAAATAAACTACGCCCGTTACTTGAGCCACTTTCGCAGCGTCCACCGAGGTTCCCACATGGCCAAAACTCGCATCTCTTCGATTCGTAAGCTTTCTCCCGACTCCTGGGGCTATCTCTGTGCTGTGCATACTCCAGATGGAGCACCTTGTGGTCTGTTAAACCATTTTACCTCGCTTTGCAAGGTTGTTTATTTTGTTTCCTTCTTTCCATTTCCTTCTTACTATAAACTATTGGCAAAAGATTTTTCCCCACAAAAAAACATAATATTTGTTGATTGTCGGGTTATATGAAAACAAACTTCAAATACATTTATTAATTGGAGATGCTGCGACATGCCACCCTTTATAGGCCAGAAGCATGCCAAACTTATTATAAAAAAAATATCTATTTTTTAAAAAAGATATTGTAATTTTAAGATAATATCTTTTACCCAGGATAAAATACTATTATCATAGCATCAGGTCCTAAAGCATGTCGGTGGGGTTTACTATTGGAATGGCCGCCAATCTTTCAATAATTGTATGCTTTACCGTAAAGCTCTTTATGATTTGTTTGAGATACCGAGGGTCTCTGCATATCGGCTACAAATTGATATACTGAGGGTCTTTGCATATCGGCTACAAATCGATATAGTGAATGTCCCTGAATATCGGGAGATTTTGAGGTTCTCGGCATATTGGCTACGAATTTCTAAGCCAAACGTTTAGTTGATTCCCGGTCCTCGGTATTCATGGACTCATGGTTGCCGATTTTGTTTCCAATTGGATAAATGAATATTGGTCCTCCATTTGGGGGGAGGGAATGAAAGCACTGCCCCATCATATGGTCTTCTGACTAGTAATTGTCGTTACTTTTTTAAATCTCACTATTGGGCGTTTCTTTCTCGAAGGATTGAATCTCGTCTTTTATAAAGGATATAATTTCTAGGCCTGTATTCTTGGTCAATTAAATTTAGTAGGTGCCTAAGTCTACCAACTGGAAATTAGTCTCCGCTAGCAATAGTATCAGCAGACAATTGGAAGTTATAATCAAATTTGACTAATTACGGTAGTGATAGCACAAACGGACGATTATGTTGTAATTCACAGTGGACAAATTATATTAAGATATTTTAAATTAAATTTATCTTACAAAAATTACAATTTTTTCCAATTGTGATTATGATGAGTTAAGAAAAACTTTATTTAAAATTAATCACAATATTTATTATCATTCCTAATCAGTAAAGTTTATTACAATCTGATTAACCGGAATATAATAATATTAGAATTTTCAATTTACTTTTCTTTTAATTGTAGTAATGCGTGTATAAAAAGAAACTTTATTTAAAATTAATTAACTAATTCATTATTATCCCTAACCAGACACATTACAATATGATTAACCGGAATGTAATAATGTGATTTTTCTTCTTGAATTCGTGAATATAATATACCAGAATTTAAAACACTAAAATAATAATTTCCCCTTTTTCTTATTGATATAGAAATGTCGCCTATAAAGCATAGAGAAAAAAAAAGGGAAACTATTTATTTAGTGTTTTATACTCTGGTATATTATTGCCACGAATGCAAGAATAAAAATTACAATATTATTACATTATCAGATTGTAATATATGTTACTGGTTAGGGATGTTAATAAATATCGTTAATTAATTTTAGATAAAGTTTCTTTTTACACACGCATTACTACAATTTAAGAAAAATAAATTGAAAATTCTAATAATATTATATTCCAGTTAATCAGATTGTAATAAATTTAACTGATTAGGAATGATAATAAATATTGTTGATCAATTTTAAATTAAATTTGTCCTCTGTAAATTACAACATACAATCGTCCGTTTGTGCTATCACTACCATAATTCGTCAAATTTGGTTATAACCTCCATTTGTCCGCTGATATCATTGCTACCATGTGAACTAACTCTCAGTTGGTTGACTTCGGCACCCACTAAATTCAATTGACTTTAATGCCCAAGAATACTGGGCTAGAAATTGCATCCTTTCAATCCTTCGAGAAAATAACTACCAATAGTGTAATTAAAAAAAAGATGCTACAATTGCTAGTCAGAAGACCATATGACGTGGCAGTGCTTTCATTCTCCTAAAAAATGGACGATTACTTATTTCCCCAATTAAAATAAAATCGGCAAACTGAGTAGGACAGCTTAATAAATAATCATTTTTCATAAATTTGCTCTGTTATATTTTTAGTGTTTTATTTTTATCGGAAACCTGTAGAGAACAAAATTTTAATCCGTATTTTCTATATTATATCTTATCGCGGAAAAATTCGTTTTTCTTTATATAATACATTACCTAAAATTATGGTTGTAACGCGAAATCAAGATATTGCAGGGAGTAGTCAGCCCCCAGACAATCTCCTTACTCCCGACAATTCGTTATCAGTAGCTACAGATAACATGGCATCAATCACTCAGGCCATTCAAGCCATCTCTCAGCAAATGCAAAACATGTCGACACGCATGCAAGCAATTGAAGGAGCGCGCCGCGAGAGATCACCATCGAACAGAAGCAACATGACATCTACGCCCTATATCCCGCCAAATAGGAGCAGGCCGCAATCTCCAGTTCTACAATTGCCGGTCCAACAAACGCCAGCAAGACCGCCGCCCGCTCTGCTCACCATCGAGGAAAAAGTGGCCAAACTGCATAGAAATTGGGCCGGAGTCTGCATCGACCTCCTTGAACCCAGATGTAAAGCCAGTGAACGTGACAGACATGAGCTCAAACATATAAAAGAGGTCGTGGACCAGATCACCATCAACACAGAGCCTGGAATAGTAGACTCAAGGACTAAAAGAGTCAGAATCCTAGGCCTCGCGATTCACTGGGGCTGGGACACCGCGCGGCTAAACGACATGTCATATCAAGAGAAATTCCTTGATTCCGAGGAGATCAAGCTAGCAAAAGAGCCCTTTCGAGCAAGGGCCCGTGGGGGGCCCACAACGTCATACCAAAGGAGACCAATCAGGAAGGAGGCGACCTCCTCACAGGGTAAGAAAAGGAAATAAATACCCCAGTCCTTCCAATAACGTCCTTTCTCTTCCTTCTTCTTCTCTTCCTACTTCCCCCCCCCCTAATACCCAAAGGCCCTTTTTAGGGCCACCATTACATGATCAAACGGAAGTCATGTTCCCGGACTACGGATCACCGGTCCGAAGAGATGAGACAGCGCAATTCCCAGACTGGCTAAAAATGGTAAATCGTTACCTAAGGGAATTGAGGCATCAGCTTTTCTCACCTGACGAAGGCATCAGTTCGGACGATGAAAATAACAATAATAATAACATTCCGTCCTTACCCGAACTAACGCCTGCTGGTCAACCTGCTGCCCCGGAGTTCGATACTCCATTTTTCCTATCAGAAGATTCAGGTATTCCTGAATGGTGGATTCCCAATGCATCTACAGCATCATGGAATTCAAGCAGCAGTGGAGCCTCCGAAGAAGCTTCCATCATCTCCGGTCATGTCGACTCTATCTTCAGTGACGGTGGTGATTCTGGTATGCCCCAGGTGGGGTCCACAGCCGTGCCTAACTTACCGGGTATTCTCAACGGAATAGCCAACGTTAACACACATGTGACCTTCACGGATGAACAACTTCAGGAGCTTCCACAACTTGACATTAGCACCGCTAGGCTCACCCCTGGACCACTGATGTCAAGCTTTACAAGACGTGTTGCAAATCGCGGATTCAGACCACGATTAGATACCCTCAAAATAGCCAATAACGAAGGGCATTACTTCACGCATAGACACAGCCACGCAATCTCCAGCCGATATAGGGATATAGTCCAACAAATGCTGGCAGCTGATGTCATTATAGAAACTGACTCAACACAATTATGCTCGCCCCTATACATAATTCCTAAAGCCAACGGATCCCCAAGAGTCATTAGCGACTTTTCAGAAACATCTAAAAAATTTCTGCACTATCCATTTAAACTAAAATCCATCCCACTTATGTCGGTCAATCTTCACAAGGCAAAATTTGCTTGCAAAATAGACATCAAATCAGCCTTTTTCTCAATTCCGTTGGCACACCAGGTCAGAAAGTTCTTTGGATTTAAAATCGATAATGTATATTATGCCTACAAAGTGTTACCAATGGGAGCTTCTTTTAGCCCATACTGCTTACAATCGATTATTTTAGATGCCTGTGCAAAAATGGTTAGAAAAGCATATTACAACGTCTACCTAGATAATATTCTGATTTATGGAGAATCCGAATTCGACGTAAAATGGTCCACAAGGTCCCTTCGGTGCACCCTCGAAGGATGGGGCCTTGAGATATCGACCGAAAAGTCAGTACTAGATCCCACGCCGCATATAACTTACCTCGGTCTCCCTATCGATCTACAAAACAAAACCTTAAGCGCTGACAATAACACCTGAAGAAGACTACCTGAAGTTGTTCATCCGTGAAGGTCACATGTGTGTTAACGTTGGCTATTCCGTTGAGAATACCCGGTAAGTTAGGCACGGCTGTGGACCCCACCTGGGGCATACCAGAATCACCACCGTCACTGAAGATAGAGTCGACAAGACCGGAGATGATGGAAGCTTCTTCGGAGGCTCCACTGCTGCTTGAATTCCATGATGCTGTAGATGCATTGGGAATCCACCATTCAGGAATACCTGAATCTTCTGATAGGAAGGATGGAGTATCGGACTCCGGGGCAGCAGGTTGACCAGCAGGCGTTAGTTCGGGTAAGGACGGAATGTTATTATTATTGTTATTTTCATCGTCCGAACTGATGCCTTCGTCAGGTGAGAAAAGCTGATGCCTCAATTCCCTTAGGTAACGATTTACCATTTTTAGCCAGTCTGGGAATTGCGCTGTCTCATCTCTTCGGACCGGTGATCCGTAGTCCGGGAACATGACTTCCGTTTGATCATGTAATGGTGGCCCTAAAAAGGGCCTTTGGGTATTAGGGGGGGGGAAGTAGGAAGAGAAGAAGAAGGAAGAGAAAGGACGTTATTGGAAGGACTGGGGTATTTATTTCCTTTTCTTACCCTGTGAGGAGGTCGCCTCCTTCCTGATTGGTCTCCTTTGGTATGACGTTGTGGGCCCCCCACGGGCCCTTGCTCGAAAGGGCTCTTTTGCTAGCTTGATCTCCTCGGAATCAAGGAATTTCTCTTGATATGACATGTCGTTTAGCCGCGCGGTGTCCCAGCCCCAGTGAATCGCGAGGCCTAGGATTCTGACTCTTTTAGTCCTTGAGTCTACTATTCCAGGCTCTGTGTTGATGGTGATCTGGTCCACGACCTCTTTTATATGTTTGAGCTCATGTCTGTCACGTTCACTGGCTTTACATCTGGGTTCAAGGAGGTCGATGCAGACTCCGGCCCAATTTCTATGCAGTTTGGCCACTTTTTCCTCGATGGTGAGCAGAGCGGGCGGCGGTCTTGCTGGCGTTTGTTGGACCGGCAATTGTAGAACTGGAGATTGCGGCCTGCTCCTATTTGGCGGGATATAGGGCGTAGATGTCATGTTGCTTCTGTTCGATGGTGATCTCTCGCGGCGCGCTCCTTCAATTGCTTGCATGCGTGTCGACATGTTTTGCATTTGCTGAGAGATGGCTTGAATGGCCTGAGTGATTGATGCCATGTTATCTGTAGCTACTGATAACGAATTGTCGGGAGTAAGGAGATTGTCTGGGGGCTGACTACTCCCTGCAATATCTTGATTTCGCGTTACAACCATAATTTTAGGTAATGTATTATATAAAGAAAAACGAATTTTTCCGCGATAAGATATAATATACTGGCCCGGATTAAAATTTTTATTTCATTTTTAAGTCCACACTGGCACGTATTTAATTCATTTTGTACATTTTACGGCTTACTCGTAATATTTTGAATAATTTTGACTGAATTTTACATATTGTTTCAAAAGGAAAGGAAAATGTAAACAGTATGTGATTTTTTTTTAAACACTTCATTATAAGATTTTTTAACATTTTCTCTCTTAATAATTGATATAATTTTAAAAAATTTTAAAACTTGGCACAGACAAAATTTTTAAAATTCGGCCCCGATTTTTAATCATTTTTAATTCACACCCGAATTTTTAAAGTTGTGTTATTTTTTAGGCCGGGTTTGCAGATCTCTGATCTTTATCGTTGAAAAGACTTTGGCCATTAATCAAATAATAATATTAATTAGGTTAAGAAATGCTATTAATGAAGTGAGAATTATGCTAATTATTAGGTTCTTAATCATATTAATTAGGTTAAAAATGGTGTTAATTGGTCCGAAATATTAACTAGGTTGCAAATCCTATTTAATTAGGTTGAAAATTCCCTCTACTAAATAATATTTATCGTGATGCAATTAAGTTAAAAATACAATTATATAAAATGTTTATATATTTGCCAGGTAGTAAGCTCTCCTACTTATTTCAAGTCATCTCACTCATCTCTTTTCGATGAAAATGATAGGAAAAAATATGTCAAATTCGAAATCGAGCATAGTAATAATTCTCCTCACAATGATTCTCGGGAACAAGGTGCCACATCACCTATTTTGACTTACGAAGAGTTCGACTCTCGCTGTACCATCGCGGTGAAAAACGTTATGTTTGTCAAAAGAGAAAAGAAGGAAAAGGATTTCTCACCATTTCCCTTCTCTACCGGTAAATGCAAGACACCCGAAGATTCCTTGGTATAATTATTATTAAATGGCGGGAATAGATTTTCCATTAATAAATGAAAACGTTTTAAAATTAAAAAATAAAGATGACTAAATTTTATTAAAGAGGAGCTAATAATTTGTAATTTAAAAAAATTACGCGATAATAAAAATCGAAGAAGTTTAAGATTTGACGAAAAAAATTAAAATCACCCTATAAATTATCGCGAAATCGAGCTCGAAATAAAATACAAAGAATGAAAGGAAATAAAAAGGAAAGAAAAGAGGTTAAAACTATATACATATTCACATATAATATGAATAGGGTCCCGAATATCATTACCCACTGTTCCTAAACGGAAGAATGATGGGATGGGTGCCGGAACAGCTGGCTTCTTGTTTGGAAGAACGTTTGAGATATTCGAAAAGCATGTCTACCGATACATTCGATACAAATTTATGTGGGGAATCAAATGATAGTGTTAAAAAACAACATCATCAAAGCCTTATAGAAGTTTTTTTTTATAATTTTTTTTTAAAGATTTATGAATATAGAACAAAATTTTGGTTCTATATAAATTTTACCTTTAACCTATCGGAATATCGCATTATATTGCTAATATTTAATGAGAGAATTCGTCATTAGGCGACATTTTTTTAAGGGAAGGGGAGGCGGGTTTAGTTTTTTTAAGATTTTCACAAGGATCGATTATAAGAAACATAAAAATTTATATATATAAAAGTGATATAGTCCTAGCCCTACTAATTTAAATAGATAATTAATTTTTTTTATTGATTTTTATAAAAGATCTTTGATCAATATCCGCCATTTTTGGAAAAATATTTTTTCATGGGTTCCTTTTTATGTATATCCACCATTTTTGCCAAAATGTTTTTCCATGCAATCTTTTTAGCTCTTTTTAATGGTTTTACATTTTCAAGCAAGCGTGGAGCATCATACCATTTCTATGCCATGTTAGATTCTGTAGCATCTGTTGAATTTGTCTATATTCTCGTTTCCTTGAGATTTGAAATTTTCCATTTTAATTTCCAATACCTATTTATTGGCTTGATTTTGTAAATACCGTACTGCTTGAACAAAACGCGTTAATTATAAATCTCAGCTCTCTTTGCTTTTTTTTTATTTGTAGAAAACGATATGGTTGAAAAGTTAGGCTTGTTTTTCTCGCTGAAAAAACGATTTGTTTGGAAATGGCCTTAGGCATTTTATATATAGTTTAATCAATTTTGTAGATGTCCATGAAGACCTCTGCGACACTCAAACCAAAATTATTCAAATAGGGTATTAATTGAATTGTGAATTTTATAGACTTAAAAGTAAAGGGGTGACTAAAATATACTTTTTTTATTTGTAGTTTTATTGATAAGTCAGTTAGTTTATTATTTTATCTGAATTTTAATAATTTATAATATTAATAATAAAATAATTAATATATTTCTGTTATTAAATTAAAACTGTTTAAATATTTATTATTGCATTTCTATTTAAAAAAAAACAGCGCAAATAATTTGTTCTTTATATTATTTATCTCTTACTAGACTTAATTCAACTTTAATAATATATAAAATAAAAAAATTTAATAGATTCTTTTCAAAAATGAGAGAAAGAGCACATTTAGGGGGGTGTTTCAAAATCTAACAACCTATAAAAATGGCTAAAAAAGATCCCTTGGAAAAATATTTTGACAAAAGTGGATATTGATAATGATCCCAAAGAATATGAAACTTACCACATGCAGTGAATTTAAGGAACTAATTGAAATAAATTCTAAGACTATCATTTTGTAATTATATACTTAATATTATATTGCAAAACATATAGTATCGTGCAGGGATTTCTACGCCCTTCTAAGCCACGTCTTTATAAAGTAACTTGTAACGTTACTCTTACTAGTTAATTTTGAAATTTAATTCTAACCAGTAGGTAGTTTCTTTTTAAATTATGTAATATTGATCGTAGCTAGTTACCTTTTTAAGGATGTTCTATTTATTTTTAGTACAACTAATCCATCTACAAACAACGTTTGTTGAAATTTTGAAATTTAAGGTTTAATAAATTTTTTTTATAGTTTTACCCATAAATCTATAACAGCTTTTTACTCTTAATGTACTATCATCTGCAAGGTTCTATCTCAAAAATCACTTTTTTACCTTCAAAAAAAGGTATAGCATATAATAAATTCTTTAAAAGAATGAATTTATCATAGTTTAAGTATAATATCTAAAATTAAAAAAATAAATTTGTCCACCTGAAGAATGGATAGAGTGCACAAGAACTCTATAATAATCATTTAGCGATATATATGTATATAGTACTAAAGTTTTAATATTATACTAAAAAAAATATGAATTTATTTATAATTATTTATTATTTTAATAAGATAAAATATTATCTTATTTCTTAATTTTCACTTGAATATTAATTGATTTAGCTGGTGAAGATGAGATCAAAAGTAAGAGTGTAATTATCGTTCATACTATCCTTCTTTTGATCAATAGCATTGATGAGAGGGAGCGCATAAGAAGTCTGGAGAGCCTTGAAAATGTTTTTTTTAGATATGGTCTTTTTTGTCGTTACAAATGGTTGAATTGCTTTTATTTTGTGCGAATTCTAGTTAAGATTTCTATTTTTTTAAGTATTTTTATAGATAGACTTCTAAAATTTTTTATAAATTGTGTCACATTATTAATATAGTAAAATGATAACTATGTTCACTTCAAATCATATCAGACCCCATTTAATCGTTAATAAATAAAAATAAGAATATATGTTATGTTTCTCTTTTTGGAAAAAAAGCTAATTTTTTGTAAAAAAAAATGGCCTTACGTGGAGGAATAGGAAATATGTATATTACTTTTTGAGATGTGTGCAAAATATTCGTTTTAAAAATAAATTTTTTAAGCTAAATAATTGAATACACTGTTAATGAAAAAGTTTAGGAAAAGGAATTTGATAGTTGTTTATTTGAGCATGTCAATATTATTAGTTACGTCCCTTTAAAGAAAAACAAAGAAACATATTTTGAATTGCTATACTGTTACAAGCACTAAATCTTGATATTTTGGGTTTACGGCTAATATTTAGTTATTTATATACATTTCGTCTAATAAATTATTCCTATAGTTACCGCCCAACTTAGAGATAGTCTTCATCCCGAACCTTGAAATAAACGGACAATACCCGGGGTTTTTCCTCTTCTCCACTTTTTCGCGTATGGTGAGGCCGATCAAAAATTTGCGAACCCTAAGAATGGAGTACATCGGGTCTTTTGAACAAATTTACTTGCATATCGCTATCCAGGATTCCGAGATTAAAGTTTGGTAGAGGGAAAACGAAAGGAATATGAAGAGAGAAAAAAAAATAGTCGGAAATTAAAAAGAATGAAAAGATTAAATAATAAGATAAATGAAAATGATTGGATTCAATTAATAACAGAAGAAAATCATATTGTAATTAGTACAATACATATTTTTAGTAATATTATTTTTAATTATAGGAGGAAACACGTCACCAGGAACTTTGCCAAACTGCCTTCTTGAGCATAACGGCAAATCTCATTCCTTTCTCCGATTTTAATCAAGTTAAATAAACAAAATATTATAATACCCCTCCCTGTTTATTTTAGTCGGCTTAGGCTGCGGACTACAGCAGTCTTTACTCATTTTCTTATTTTACGAGGCGACCAATTTTAATAAATGGCGATCTTATTTTCGGAATGACATAAGATGGGATTTTTTTTTTAAAAAAAAATTTATTTTAAAGATCTTATTAAATATAATAATAACGCAAATTATAGTTTTCAAAACTTACCTTCAAAATTTTATATAAAGGAATAAGAAATTAAATGGTAAGTTGATAAATTATTATTTTATATTCTTAATTATCCACAAAAATTATGACTTTTTTTTCTCTTAAAAATAAGGACTTTTTTCTCTTGATCTCTGAAAATTAAGTTTTGATGTCCTTTACTGTCAACCGGAGTGTTGCAATAAGTGCATAAATGTGGTGTGGCCATATTGCACTTTCTATCTCTATGCTATATGCCAGACAATATTTACAATATCTCAATTAAATCCCCCCCCCCCCCCCCCCACGTTTTTATTTATTTTAGTACATATAATAGTACTTTTAAACTTGAAAAAAATGTGGTTAAAAATGCTAAAACAGAATTTGTCATCAAATTTTATCTATCTATTTTGATTTCTATGTATACATAATATATAATAGTAAAAGAAAAGCAATTTGAAAATAAATACGCCCAATACCAAGGGGAACATTTTGCTAGTAGTGAGATTAAGCAGTGATATAATACAAGAATTAGTCATTTTACAAGGTGCTGATGATCAAAATATGGGTAATATAAATTTCAAAAGTAAAGCTATTTAATCGCAAGGAGCAGTAACTTTTATAAGAAACAATAAGATTTTAGCATCAAGATGGTGGATTTGCCTTTGCCCAAAGAAAAGTAGCATTTTACTAACAATTTCTAGTTCTACTTCACCTTCAGAAAGAAATTGGTCGATTTGGGTAAATATTCATAATAAACAAAAATTGATTGAAGACCTCGATAACGGGATTGATTTAAAAAAATGATAATATTGAATATGAATAAGAACAAGAACAAGATTCTGCTATGGAGAGCAGAACCTTAATTATAAATAGAATGACAATGAATTTTAAAAAATATAATAAAATTAATAGTAGAGATTCCATTTTACTATTATATGCAAAATAGTTAATATTGTCTTAAAAACATTTACTGAGTTTAACATGTCAAATACACCATTCTGAAAAAATTTTTCATTTAATAAGAACCCATGAGGGCATACTGGTAAGCAGCTTCAACTTTTATTCACAAGTTGACTATAAATATTATATATCTTTATAGAAAAAAGATATTATTTTTAAAGAAAAGTTTCTAATTTTTATTTTAAAAATATATTTCTAAAAATGATTATATTAATTTAATTGACATATTTTAATTATAATCAAAAAAATAATACTAAAATTCTTTTTATATTTTATTAATTCGGCTACAAAAGTGATTGAAGCACTAACCTCTACTAACTAAGCACTAAAGAATGATATAAGTTTCATCGTTAGTGCTTCCAAAAGTTCGGCCATCTTCACGCCTAAATCGTGACGTCAATTTAGCTAATATCTTTTTTTCCATATGGCGGTTAACTAAATTAATAACGGAATTTAAATGCATTAATTAAGCACTAAATAATGGCGAAAACCGGATGTTTAATACTACTCTAGTTTTTGTTTTGGCACATCGCCAATATTTGTTTATTTTTGTTTTTTTCGCCAATAATTTTTTATTCTTAATTCGGCTACAAAAGTGATTTAAGCACTAACCTCTACTAACTAAGCACTAAAGAATGATATAAGTTTCATCGTTAGTGCTTTCAATCAACTTTTAAGCGTGAAGTTGGCACAAATTTTTATTTTTGCTTATAACTTTTTTCCCTTAAATTCGGCTACTATACGGATTGAAGCACTAACGAAGCACTAAAAAATGACATATGATTCATCGTAAGTGCTTCCAAATGTTCGGCCAACTTCACGGAGCTCGATAGAACGTTTATTTAATCTAGGGATATTTATGGCGAGGAACAGGTGCGTCTTTTAGAAAATTTATTATACCTGAATTTTATGAAAAATAATCTGTGCAAATATATATTTTATTTCGGTATAAATATATTCTATTCTCCTTTATTATTTTTTTAGTGTAATTATTTTGATCGTAAAATTATTGTAAATATTAAAGTAACTTATAATGTAATAGTTAATTTAGAAATAGGTTTTTAAGAATTTCAAAAAATAACTTACCACTAATAATAGTATGTTTAAAATATGGCTTCCGATATAATCGGAATTGTAACAGATCTTATTTAAAAAATTAATCCGATTTTGAAAATATTAACATGATTAAATATATTTTATACATTTTTATAAAAAAATGATGACTTATTTGTTATATTTTATAAGATGAACAGAAGTTTGAAAAACAATCTTCAGAAATTTTTTTAACTCATAATTTTAAACAAAAAATTTTTGAAGATCACAAAAAAGACTTTTTTCTTTAGAAGATGATCTTAATCTAAGTGGTTTAGTCATAAGAATAATATTTATTTCTTTATTCGCAAAAAACTATTTCATTTTTTAAAATAATATATATTATATTTTAAATTGTCCATCTATAACTTTTTTTTTGAAGCATATATATATTATATTTTTTATAGGTTAAAATAATTTTAAAACAAATAAAAAAATTAAATTCAGTCCAAAGATTTAATAATTTTTTTATATATTTTTACTTTGTCCACACCCCTCCTTCGCCTTTTCCCATTTAAATTTTTTTAAGACGAATAAAAACAATAAAACTACTCTGACAAATTTGTTTTTACCTTTTTTTGAATATTATAATGCAATTATTTAGTTTTTTTTATTGAGATTAGGTCCTTTTTCTATCTCTTTAAAAGTATTTTATATAATCACTATATTTGTAAAAACAAACTATGTGCATAGGGTCAAAATTTAAAGCCCTGCCCGGATTAAAGAATATTTTTTTCAGGCCAGACTAGAGCTCTGCTAGTCGTCTCAGTCTGGCACGGGACTAAAAATTTTAAAGTATTTTGGGCTAAATATTTAAAAGTTCATAAAAATATAATCATAAAATTATGTTTTCTTTATTTTATCAAATTAAAGTGATAATTATTATTTATTTGAAAATGCTTTTAGTTATATATTTTTTAATTAAAAATTTCAGGGCAACCAGGCTATGACTAAGAATTTTTGGCCAGGCCTTGATTTTTAAAGTTTCTTTATTTAAAATCAGATTTTTTTGACCAAAATTTTGAACAAAAAATCTTTTTAAGATCATAAAATGAAGATAAAAAAATAGTTATGCATAAAAATCACAAAAGATTTTTAAGTAATTGGAATTTTAGGTAAAATTTGACCAAAAATTCTTTTTGAAGCATTCTTAAAAAATCTTGATTTTAGTAATTTTTAGATATCAAAAATTATTTATTTTTTTTATTTTGAAGAGTACTTCCCACTTTGTTTAAAGTAATTATAACATTATTTTGTAAATAATTTCAATGGGTATTGAATATGAATTTTAAACTACCCATTGTAGGATTTTTCAGCTGATTAATTGATATAATTTAAATTTTAAAAATTGGCCGAAAAAATTTATCATCAATTCACTTTTGATTTGTAATATTTTTTCCAGGTCAGGATTTTTAAAATTTTACGGCTAACTGAGGGCTAGGTTAGATTGTATTTTTTTTAAAATTTTTGCAAATAATCAGGAGTTGATGATGCTAATTAGATTTTAGAATTTATCAATGTTTTTTTAAACTGATTACTCTGATAGCATAATTCTTAAAAATTTTTTGTAGAATATACAAACTTCTTCGACAAATATTTGTAGAAATTTCGCCATATCAGCGGTCCTCTTTTACATGTTCACCGTAGATTAGATACTAATATTGCCCGTTTTTATTGGAAGAATGGACATGCATGTCATTAAGAAATATGTTGTTTATTTCTAATGTTGTGGATAAGATCTTTATATTTGATTTTGTTGTATTTCGAGCATCTCCACCGAATAGTGTTAATACCTTTTTTATATAAAAAAAACCTAAAAATGCCCCTCATATTTAAATTTTTTTTTCTCTTTAGATTCCTTATTTTAATTTTCTAATTAAAGAAGAGAAAATTTGAAGGTTAATTTTTCGTGGCCATTTTCCCGATTACCTCTAATAAAAAATGATTTTTGCAGACAAATTTTTTTTTCCTAGTAGTGACCAATGGCCATTTGGTATAGGAAAAAAAATATTAATATCAATTTTAAAACCTTATTTTCTCATTTTAGAAAAGGCAAGTAGATCCAACATTCAAGCGCCGAAAGGATTAAATATTTCAATAAAAAATTATTTTATACCTATTTTTAGAGTCCCAGAAACATGTATCAATGTCAAATGTGTAAACAAACCATGGGGACAACCCATTATACCCTGCCTTTCAGGGCCGAAAATAAGTCTTACAGACTTCAGACGCCCCAAGCTCCACTGGTTAAACCTATAAAAGCTCACTCTATACATCATATCGATGATTACCCGTCTGGGACCAACGCGATTGTCGCTGTTCTTGCATATACCGTAATAATAAATGAGTATATAAAGGGGTTTTCTCCTTATTTTCACCTAGAAACAACGATCACTAATACAATTTTAATTTTTTTTTATATAATTACTACTTATAAATTTATTTAATTGGATAGAAAACAGTTGGTATCTTCTAAAAATAATTAATAAGTCTTTTTTTTTAAAAAATGTATTTTTAATTTTTTAGACATGGACAAATTTGCCTTATATTTTTTTAGAAAGTTTATCTTTTTTTTTCCTGAATATGGGCCTTAAAAGAACGACCTATATAATTATTTTCTTTTCTAAATAGTCCATGTTTATGTCTTAATCTTAATTAACGCTAAAAGTTAATATATTTATTTTTGTTTGTGTGGGGAAAAAGTATGAATTGAAAATTTGGAATACTTGCATAATTAGATAAAGCTTGAAAGGCAAGTATCCAAACCGAAGCTGAACCGTAAACTGGCATTACTATTTACCAAACCTTAACCGTTCAAGATGTTGCCACCTAAACTTGAACCGAGCTTCAGAAAAAGTCTGGGAACTGGTATGGACCTTTTGCTAACTCTTTTAAAGATTTATTATTTTCCAAATTTGGAATCATATGATTATCATTTAAATTGATTTAAATAGTTAAAATGCTCCCTAACATCGGATAACAAAATCGCTAAACTAATTGGATAATCCTGCATTCACAGTTAGCATTCGCGCTAATTGTAAATAGGTGCTGATAATATTATCTTATAAGTCAGATTAGACAGATTAAGTGTATCACCTCTGTAATACCCTTTACTTTCTTTAATATAATTGAATCGGTTATATCTTATTATTTTCACATTAAAAAGAAGCTAATTCAAATTATTTACTTCTCCAAAACGCCAATAATATAACTAACTAGAATTTACTCATGGACATAAATAACGTACACCGCCACGATAATTATTTAAACAAAATCAATATACATCATAAAAATATATGTAAATAACTAATAAAAAAGTGTTCCTAGAGAAAATAATATAAAAATAAACAAATTTTTTAATCCTCCCGCCTATTGTTATTCTTTTTGGCACTCTCCCGCTAAAAACGCCATTTCTCTCTTTCTTTCTCTCTTTCCCTCCTCCCTCCCTCTTTCTTTCTTTCTTTTTATTTATTTATTTCTATCTTTAAATACAAAGATAACTATCGATATTTCTGACAAGTGATGAGTCCTAAAATTTATGACGAATTGTCTTAATAAAGTACGAGGGATTTTTTTTGTAAAAGATAAGAGTTGAGATTCGCGTGAACACTAAAAAAATATAATTCCACTTTTTTTTTATCATTAAAGATTTAGGATTTATATAAATTTCTATATTATCATATACAACCATTTTTATTATTAATTGACCCTACCAATACAAAATAATTAAGATTAAGGATAAAATTCAGACAAAAGAAAATAGATATCGGATCCGATTTAGACCTGATCTATATCGGTGATCGGTAAATTTTTGTAAAAAATGTTCATTCAAAACGGTAAAAAAAATAATAGGGATATTGACATATTTTGAAATTATTCATTTTTTTTTATCTATTGTGTTTTTATCTATTGTGTTTTTATCTATTGTGTTTTAAATGAAGCGATATAAAATTTTGCTTGAAAACAACAAAAAACCCTGTAAAATCACTTTTTGTTTACTTTTTTAAATATTAGTTCTTAAAAGAAGAAATACATATATTTTTTGAATGGGCGTTCTAGGGTTATGATATGGAGGACGCCATGGTTATAAATAAGCATAGCGAGGAACGAGGTTTTGCCCATGGCTACACTTATAAAACGGACATTTTAAACGTTTCCGACATTGTAACGGATACCTTAATGAGTGTTAAAGAATCAAGAGAATCGGCTGACATGACCACCGGATCCTTGGCACATGAAGAAACCCTGCATATCAAGGCTAAGCATAAGGAATGTTTGTACAGTTTCGGCTTCGACCCACATAATTGCATCAATTATAGTGCCTCCAAGGAATCTAATATCGATATGTCATTTCCTATAGACCCCGACGGCCTACCTTACATAGGGGCTATTATTAGTGAGGTAGGAATTACTCCATTTTACCAATCTGTTTCATTTATACACAGTCACATTTTATAAAATATACCCCATATTATTTAAAGTTTAAAAATTATTTTGATGATACTTATATCATTAAAAATTCGTAGAAATAATGAACCCCTAAGTAAAGGTGTTAATTTCCCAAGGGGTAGGGACTTTGGAACAAAGGTAATTGAATGGGGATTTTTAGGTGGTAAAGCTGGAATAGGTTGAGACATAGGTTATTTAAAATTTAAAACTCAAATGTATTTTCCTTAAATTCATGATTTATTGCATATGGGAATAATATTTAAAAAAAAAATTTTTTTATCAAAGGGAACACCCTATTACAGCTATATTAACACTTTGACGGGTAAATGCAAGGTAATCAGACACAAAGGTTCCGAAACCTTTACAGTCGATAGGGTATATATTATGGGACAAAAAGCCGAATTCTCTAACAAAGATGGCGGTGAGATAATGGATAGTGGGGGCATCAAAAAGGCTCTAATATATATTAGGATCAGGGTATAAAAATAAAATTTAAAAAGGGCTTATTAATTTTATATCAATATAGCTTCTATATATCTTTTTAAGTTTCAATACCATTACTATTATTTAATAATAAATTCATTCATTCACCGATCATCAGACAAATAATTGCATGGTATTATTTATTTTTTCAAAAGTAAAACAACTTATATATTATTATAAGTTGAGGAATTAGAAATGATAAGTTTAATGAAGGTAAAATAGTCATGCAAAATCGCTCTATTTGAGCCGATTTTTAAAAACCGATAACTCAATATTTTAGTCTGAAAAATATTGTCTAAGCCTCGAGATTTCATTAATAGATGTCCAAACTAGTGATTTGCATCGCGCCTGATTTTTCAAACCCGGCCCGGCCCGAAATTTTTTTAAAAAATTTGACCAGCCCGATCCCGAATGATTTTTTTTTATTTGTCTCGAAAAGCCCGATCTAAAATAAAAATTTGTCCGCCCGGTCCGGCACGATATTTAAATATAAAAAAATTTAATTTTATTGTAAAAAAAATATTAGCACAAAAATCAATTTATTTAGCAAAATATAATTATATCATATTTAAGAAATTGTTTTTAAAAATTAAATCCGGGTACGGGTCGGGTCGGCCCTTGATTTGCAGATCTCTAGTCGCTATCTATGAACAAAATATTCAGGCTTGCGTAATATTTTTCTTATACTGGTTTAGCCGTCTTTAAAAATCGGTTCAAGTGGAGCGTTTTCGCATCACTAGAAGGGAAGAATTAGGTACAATAAAAAAAATTTACAGGAGGTAATTAAATAAAAAACATATAAATATAAAGAATAAATAAAATAAAGATTGAAATTAAAATGAAGGAATTTAAGTGTAAAAATTTCTTTATATTTTTTTCATCACAGAGAAATCCCAGTATAGGTGACAAATTCGCCTCCCGCCAGGGCCAAAAGGGTATCTGCAGCTTCAAAATTCGCCACGAAAATTTGCCCTTTACGGAAAGCGGTATAGTGCCTGATATTATATTCAACCCTCACGGGTTCCCTTCTAGAATGACCATAGGTATTTTCTATGACTTGAATTCTTTTAATTTTTTGGTATTGATTTTATTGAAAGTATTTTATTTTGAATTAATTCTTATAAGCCAATTATTTATTTATTAAAATGGGTAAACAAGTGTACTTTCAGTTTGATAATTTATAGGAGCCAATTCCTTATGAAAACTAAAAAATATTTGGGCATATTACAAACGCGGCATAACCAGGGTACCTTTGGAAATTTATCTGTTGTGTTCCTAAAAAATTAATTATCTTATTAATATGCAAATTTTATTCATTTAATTTGTATGATAAAAATCAATCAAATATGTGGATTCTCAATCTCTCGATTTTAAATGATTTACTGAGGGTTATTTTTAAAAATCTGATTTGACCGGAAATGTATTTCATCCCCTATAAATTTCAGGCAATTCCCGCCATAAACTTTTTTGTATTTTGTATTTTTAATTTATATGAAAAAATTTATTAAAACGGTAATATAAATTTAAAATATTTTCCATTATTTTTTTCCCCGAAATCGTTGTTCCTATTCCATGTTAAATGATTAAATTTATAAAGGGATTTTTCGATAATAGTGACCCTCTTCCCAGCAAAATTCTGGCTACGCTTAATGTTTGTATGCATCACTAGGAATGCCCATCGCATAACTTTCTGGGAAATGTGCTTCTTTGTGTGCTTTTATATACTACCTTTCGAACAATAAAAATAACTTAAATTTTTTTATATTACCTTCAACGAGCAATGGTTTCAATAAATGGCATGACATTTTTTTTATTTGTCATTTTTTTTTTCGATTTTTACATTTTTTATAATGTAACTTACAATTGTTAATATTTTATTTTAATACTAAACCACTTTATATTTTTCATTTCTCTTATATTATTTAATAAATTAAATAATAATCATTAAAACTAGGCATGATAATTGAATGCATGGCCGGGAAATCGGCTTCCCTAAACGGGGAAATATATGACGCGACTCCATTCACTTTTAACGAAAAAAGACAAGCTTCCCACCATTTTAGCCAGCTTCTAAGCGAAGGTAATTCCATACACTGTACATTTTCTAAATTGTCTTTTTTAATTTTATTAATCAAATTAGTTAAGTTGGTAAAATAATGGCACCTGATTATAATTACGGCTGTCGATTCGCAATTTTTTTATTTATCCGATCCGGTATTAAAAAAATTTTCTAAATAACTCTGATACTATAACTTAAAAAAAAACTTGTTAATGTTATTATTTTAATTATAGGCTTTTATATTTATTATTTTTATAGTTGTAATCAGAATATTCCCTTTATTATCTTCACCTCAAAAATAAATATTTCAAAACTATTTTAAAGTTTTCTTCTTAAATTCGGGTCATGATATTTGTTTATGCTAGAAGAGAATAAATTTAATTTTTTTTAAGAATTTATTTCATATAATATTAATCTCAATTTTACTGGAATGAATGTATAATCGAAATAAATTAAGATTAATCTCAGGATTATGATCATGCATATTTAATTCAATAAAAAGATTAATTTACAGTTATAATAAATATTTAATCTATTTGATAATAACCCAACTCAAGGGATTTGCAACTCAAAGAAATTTTTAAATTGGGTGAAATGTTATAATATAAGCATTAATTTATTTAATAATATTAAGATATTATTTAATTATATTTAAGTATCGTTTTTGATCATTTGTCAATGAACATAAAGATAATTTATTCATTTATTCAAATATGTTATTTAATTTACGTAACTTCGAAGAAATTATTATATTTTTGGATTGTTATAATATTTTGAAAATTCATCAGTATCTTATTAAAATAAAAATGATAATAAATTTAAATGATAGATATAAATTTAATTTACTCATTATGGGATCACCAAAATATAAAAAAATCTATCAAAGATATAGAATTTTTTTTTGCTTTATATAAATTTGATAAGGTAGAACTTATACTATACTAATTACCAAATGAAATACATGTATTGCTTCATATTTTTTATAAAAATCTTAATGATATGAAAATAAATATAATAAAATTAAAATTTTTTTTATGAAGTAAAACTTATGAGATTAAATGCTAAATATAAATCAAAGAAATAAATATAATTATAATAAAAATTATAATTAATCAAAATAATATAAAATATTAAAATAATAAAAAACATTATTCAAAAGTAGATAATTTTACAATTGATTAAAAATGGAAGAATTTACTACAAACAAAATATTGAGGAATAAAATTAAATTATATAAAAAAAGAATATATTGATGAAAATAAAATTAATATGAAATTATAAAATCTGAAGTTCATACATATAAAATTTTGATAATAACAGAATCCAAATTGTACTTTATGAATAAAATTATTGAACCAAAGATTTATGGTAAAGATTATAATATAATATTTGAATTGAGGATGAAAGGATTCATATTCAAAAATTCTTTGAGATTACTTCTGGATAAACATATTGAAATTATAAATAATTGATTAAAATATAAAACGCATAAATCATATTCTTATTTATTTATGGATTAATAATTACAGCTGCCACAATGATAGAAATACAAAGTGGAAGATTTGATGTTTGAAATAAATACATATTTTTTTATATAATAATCATATAATATAATAATCTTTTTCTCCTTATATGTATCTTACTTGAATAATGATATATAAAATGATAAAATATTAAGTGAGATATAAAGTTCTCGAGGTTACTTATATTGATTCATAACATAATGAATGAATATATAAATTATCTTCATAACTAAATAATATTTTAATATTATTAAATAAAAACAAGCATGTGGGATTAAAAGCTAGAGAGCTATGAATTAGAGTTAATGAAAGGTTTGAGAAATATGGGTTATTAATACTTGTCAAATCTAACAGGTCATGTGATTAAAAATAAATTCCTTGATACCTTAATCTATATATTTATAGAATGAAAAAAGGAACGAATCATTTTTACCTTCACTTATTCCTTTAAAAAATAAAAATAAACCTTTTTAAATTTATTTTTCATAGAAATGAGTGTACCAAAAATATAATAAATTATAGTTTATTATGCGATTACTTATGAAAATTGGATTGAATGGGTTTTTAAATGATATTCGACAGATCATATTTTTTTAAACAGATAATATAGGTGCCTATCCATTATATCGGACAGCCCTATATCAAAATAGCTGCTGGTATCAATCGAACATTAATTTCATTGAAGATTAACACTACCACATTATAATTTCACCATACATTTTTACGAGGCATTACAAAATATACCCTTAATGCCCCTTAATTTAAATCATGGAAATAATTATTTTCACATTGCCGCCTTATTTTACATTAATTACATGCCATAAATTACAATAATCACGTTAAAAATTATAATTTATTAATTATATCTTGAGGAATATGAAATTTTGTTTATATTGTTCCTATAGATGCCCCTACAGCTCGGGTCAACGGGCATGGACTTAATCCCATTAGGATCCTTGGAAAAATAAATATGCATTGGTGTATCACATGGGTGCCCACAGAGAGGGGGTGGGTACATATTTTTTTTTGTTAAAGCTTTTTAGAAAATTAGTAATTAAATTTTTTGGTCATTAGCTGGCTACGACTATTATGGAACGGAACTAATGTATTCCGGTGTAGAAGGAAGAATGCTAGAGGTCGATATTTTTATGGGAATCATTTACTATCAAAGATTGCGACATATGGTGGCCGATAAATATCAGGTTAATTATAATATAATTTTTATAGAAGAAACTAAAGGAGAAATTAAAAGGATGAACGAAAGAAAGAGGAGATAAATAAAAAATAAAAAAAATATAAGAGTAATAACGAATGATGAAGCTACCCTAACCCAAGGGAACAAAAAAATATTTCTTCTTTTTAAAAAAGATAACACATAAAACCATTGGCACTGTCTCATTCCTTTTCGAAAAGTCATCAGAAAAAAGGGAGGGAGGAAAGGAATGGATGAGCAAAGAGAAAAAGAACTAAAATAAAAAGTATCAATATTTTATTAAAGACTATAAAAAAGCCTAAAAATAGAAAGAAGGAAAAAAAACAATAAAAAGAAAAGTTAAAATTAAATAAATAAAAAGAAAAGTTAAAATGTAAAAAATAAATTTTTTTATAAAAAAATATAATAGGTTAGGACCACGGGCCCGGTTGATTCCCTAACTCATCAACCTTTGAAAGGCCGTAAAAGAGGTGGGGGTATAAGGTGTGGGGAAATGGAAAGAGACGCTTTGATATCCCACGGAACAACTTTCTTGCTTCAAGATAGACTCCTCAATTGCTCCGATATTTGCACTGGTTATACAATCTATATTAAAACCATCTGAACTATTTTTGGCGATCTAGTTTGAAAATTGAGATTTATTTCCTCCGAATCCGTCTGATTATCTATTTTTATGTCCTGATTCAGTCTACCTGTCTATGCAGGGCTATTAATAAACTAATAACATTAAATTAGAAGTTGTACTTTGACAAAAAATAATTAACATTTTTAGCAACATTTCTATAGTTCTTTTGTTATGTACCAATTATATATAAGTCCTTTTTACTTTAAGGCAAACCTTCAATTTAGTTTTGGGAAAGGACACTTTGCAACCAATTTAAAACATTTTTATATTTTTAGGCTGGGTATTATAATTTATTATAGGAAAATCTTTAATCATAAGCCTTCGCTGATATATCGATTATAGTAAATTATGCAGTCTTCTGTTAATATATTTTTATACTTTTTTTAGTTCCAATATGTCCTAATTGCAAGAGTCTCATTACTACCAGCTTGGAACTTTCTACTCAGCAGAGGAGGGAACTCATCAACAACAACTCATCAATCAAAAGGAAGAAGTCTTTCCTAGACTCCGGAAACGATTTCAACAAACCAGCCACTCTCAAATGCAAAATATGTCAAGCTAAACCCGTGATGGTCAAAATACCTTACGTGTTAAAGTATCTGACATACGAATTAATGGCGCTTAATTTGAAATTGGAGATAGAACTCAAGGATATATGTTGAAAACTTCTTATTTTATATATAATATAGAGATATTTTTTGTTATTATATATACAGTATATATAATATATGTTGTCGAAAACCTCGATTTAGATACTTTTTATAAAAAAAAGACCTAATCAAGATTTTAGTCAAAAATAAATAAATAGTCAATTTATAAAATAAAAGAATGCGTTATTAAATAGATCCATATGGAACATATGAAACACTTAAGTGATATTAGATTATGCTAAATACATTATTTGCTAAATTTGAAAAGAAGATAGCTAGTGGTGTATTGCTTTAAGATTTGGCAGGGAGGTAGGCTACGATTTTTTTTTATATATTATCAAAAAAAATATATAGTATAAATTAAATACCACCGATATATATATATAAATATTTTCCATAAAATTCTTTTTCTTTGGGCTGTATATTTTTTTGAAAAGATTTCATTCGTCCGCAATGATTCCTTTCCAACATTTTGATACATGGATCTAGGATCCGATATTCAAGGTCCATTATTTGGCGAATTATTTACTCTTTAAACTCGCTCAAATATCTAAGGTTACCACAGAGTATAAGAAATTTTTCATTAGGAATATCTTCATCCATATATTGTCGAAGCCCAGCAATCGTTTCATATAATTTGAAGTTTTGGCAGAAATTTTTTATTTGTTTCTCGCCAAATTGATTTTTAGACCTATTTTTTTTAAGCAAAAAATAATCTGAAAGAATTTCTAAAATAAAGGGAGTAATTTTATTTAAATCAGTTTATTCTCCTCTATAAAGCTATCCCTTAGACGGGACTACATAATTCTTTCTAAAAAAAATTGTAAATTGGTATATTTTAATTTTACATTTTTTGAATTTTTTTTAAAATAAAAGTGTAATTTCTGAATTTAGCAACATAATACACCATTGGAGATGGCTTAATTATTATTAGTTAAAAAAAATTTGAATCATCAAATGCTTCTAAAATAGAGAAGACTGATTTGAAAATATTTATAGTGAGGAGTCATTGAAAATTTAAGTTTTTACTTTTTTATTAGAAAGGATGCCTAAAAAAGGATAATGAAATTTATATTATAAAAATATAATAAGCGAATGTCTTGTATTATAATTTTCTATATTAAATTTTTAAGCGACTATAGTCATTGATTGTTTATGATATTTCTATAATATTTGAAAAAAAAACATTTCACCGAAATTCGATATACCTAATATATAATGGCGAAATATAAAAAAAAACATTGAAAGTTGCAATTAAAATATCTCATGATTCTTTAGAAATATATTAAAATTTGAAATAAATATTTTTATAAATTTTGACCATTTTCACCGCGAACAAAGACGAAGAAATTAAATTTTAAAAAAATGTTTGAAAAACTTTAATCATATAACTAGTTTCAAGTGTTGGACTAATAAAGGGTTCCTATTATAGAATTTATTTTGTTGCTGCATCCATTGTTGTTCGGTTGGCAACACGTTACTAAATTTATTATTGCCATCTCCACCGCCTGGCATATTACCATGACTGTACGCGTTATTAGTGTTCTTTATGGTGTTATACGCCGAATTAAGTTTTTGCAATTGTTCGTACTCCTTACCACCTATGTGTTCGTGTATATGCAAGTTTTGGGGAGGAATGTCTTCCACCACATGCTTAACGGGAGGATTTCTGGGATCGTCTTGAATCCAATCTTCCTTAAGTCGACCTAATATTTGGCCACTGGCCGAATCCTTAACTTCCTCACCTACTTGCAGAATTCTTCTTACCTGGGAAAGAAAATTATGTGAAAATATATTGTAATTTTTTTGTTCTCTAAAATATTGGTAAAAAAATATTTAGGATTTAAAATTGGTTGTATATTCTCACATCACATCTATGGTAAAAATGATGTTTAACTCTTTCAAATAGGACATTTTTTAGGCATGCTAACCAAATTAAACTTTAACGTGTTGAGTTTGTCTCTAGGCTAAGATTTTTTGAATAATATATTTCCTTTACAGGGAAAAATGAATTATTTCAGGTTTTGAACCTCGAATGCGGAATGAACTTAAAATCTTCTAAACAGTTACCCAATACTTATAAAAAACGAACCTTTAAAAATATTTATTAATCGGTTAATACGGGGTATATTAATTAATTTATTTAATATTTTAGTCTGTAAAATTTTTTCTATTTAAAAATTCTACCTTTCAAATTTTTTTTAAAATGCATTTATCATCTAATTTTTTATTTTTGATACATGATAGATATTGATCAAATTAGTGATGTTAAAATAACTAGTTACATTTTGGCTAAAAAATAACTGTAACTAGTTATATTTTTAAAATTGTAACTAGTAACTGTAACTAGTTAAAATTTTTGAAATGTAACTGCCAAAAGTTGCCAAAAGTAACTAGTTACTTTTAAAGATATATCCAAATAATTAATTTTATTTTTAATATGTTGTGATAAATTAATTTTAAATTAAATTTATTTTTTAAATAAAATTTATTAATTTAAAATTTTGTGAAAATGTCTTATTGTTCCCAACAATAACACAAATACTTATATGTATGGCAGATGTGCAGGGATTATAATATTGTCAACCTCTAAAGGATACTATATTAGCTAGTATTGAAAAAAGGTAACTAAAATCAAATAATTATTTATAAATTAATAATATCATGTTATAGGTTTAATAATCTTTATGATAATGACAACATCATTGCTGCAATTCTTCACCCTTTATTTAAAACTGACTGGCCTTGGATTAGGCAAGAAAGGAATAAAGCAAAAAAGGAGGAAATTTTAAATTTAATAAATACCTTAATACCTCAAAGTGAATCCCAGACGAATGAATCATGCTCAAAACCAACATCACTTGATGTAGTTGAATTTTTTGACCTAAAGCGCCAAAATATTCTGGATAATGAACTTATAGAAAACTTTATCAAATCTAATAACAACACTTTTTTTTATATAACGATTTCCCAAAGTTAAAATTACTCTTTATTAAATATAATGTTGTTCTAACATCAAGTGCTCCCGTAGAGCGCTTATTCAGTCTAGGTAAGCTCATTTTTGGAGATAAACGAGCACGTCTCCTAGATAATAACTTAGAAATTAATTTGTTGTTAAAAGCAAATAAAAATTTATTAGATTCTAATTTTTATGAAAAATAAATATTTTTTTTTCAATGCAAATATATATTTTTATATTCGATGTAAATATTCAATTTTGCGATATTTTTTTATATAAATAAATTATATATTATTTTAAATAACTGATTATACTTTGTTTATCCTAATTTTTTTTATATTAAATAAATGCAGTCAATAAATAAATAATGCGCATATGAAGGATGTATAAAGTAAGTAACTAGTTACTTTTGAAAATAACTGTAACTAATAACTAGTTACTTTTGTAAAAATGTATCTAGTAACTGTAACTAGTTATGTTTTTGCCAATTTAACTAGTAACTGTAACTAGTTATGTTTCAAAAGTAACTTTTAACATCACTACAAATTACTACTTAATTTTACAAGAAAGGAAATATCGTTCAAAAAGTTATTTTTTGGATAAATTAACAAGTTTTATTCTTATAATATTTCGTCGTCTCAGTATTATAGTATTCCATATCCGTTTTTTCAACTTTTGCAGGAGAGTAAAAAATGTTTCATTAATAATGCAATAAAGGATTATTTTAAATTATATTTTATTATTTGAGATGGAAAAATACAGTACTGAATATAGATGGATAATGACTAATTCATCTCAATTTTCAGGCGCCTGTCAGAGAAAATCCTTTAACATTGTGGCGTTTTTATTTCTATTAGTTTCTTTTAAATTTTAACTACTATCTTTTTAAGAAAACCCCTGAGGCCAAAGTGATATTTTTCATGAAAACTTGGCTTATCCGGCTTAGTAATTAATTACCCAACTACTGAGAAATTGATTTATCGAAAAATGCACGTTTTTTTGTTTTAAAATTTTATTCATAAAACAAATTAAAAGAAATATCACTATAAAAACTCAAACAAGTTAACATTACTGCCAAATTATTTTATTACTTTTATTTAGTAGAGTAATGAAAATAATTTAAATATAAAATTAGATACTAAAATTTTAAATGGTTTTTTTATAGCGTTAACGCTCATTTATAATAAGCAAGGTATATTAATCACTGCGTAATTTACAAAAACATGCTAATTATAGATGTAACTTAAAAATACGGAGCTAAATGGTGAAATCGTAACAGCTGTTTACGTTTATTTCAAAGTATATCTGTGACGAATCAGTGGTTATTTCGCTAGTGATTAATTTCGCTTCGCTTGAGCAAATTGCGCTTACTAAATCCAACGTAAGATTTGCCTTTATATTTTGTTTTATAATAATTCATTTTTTTTTTTATAAAAATGAAACTCTTATGAAAGGGACAAACCAACATAAATTTTCTTTTCCTTAATTCGATTTTTGCCAAAAATAATATTACATAAGCCTCAAGATTTTGTCAAAAGATGTTCAGTTATTAATTAGGGAATTTTGACAGACACTAATAATGAGATATATAAATAATTTCAATCAAGTTTGCAAACTTTGTCCCCATTTATATCTTCCCTCTGCTCTTCTTCCTTGACAATCTCCACAGGCCTTCCCATTTGCACAGGGCGAATGTCGTGTTCGAATTTTTCTATTTCCGGCATGTATTTGCGCTCCAGAATGTCCATATCGTCAATTGTGAATATAATTTTCAGGTTAAAAATTGACCAAAATAATATGAGCCTTACCAGGTATAAGATCATTTTTTTAAATTATAACTAAGGTCGTTTTATTAAAAATTTTAATTGGATAGTGTAAATTCTTTCTTAATACATATAAATTGTTAGTTACATAAAAAAAAATTTATTATAAATTTATAGTTACAATTTCTAGAAACATCCTTAACTTATGCATTTATAATTAAAGATAATTTACAAGTAAGCTATAAATTTAAATGTCTTTTCCATTCTAAGATTTTTTTATTTATAGTTTAGTAGGTTTTTTTAAAACTAGGAGTTAACAGAATTAGATGGTTTATAAGTTAAAAAAGGAAATTTGAATGAAACTAATTTGATAATAAATTAGCTCCTCATTTTGTCATATTTTTAACTTGACCGAGTTATTCTGAATACCACTTCTAATACCTTCAATCTTATTTCAAAGCCTGAATTATACTTCAGATTCGGTTCATAAAAATATCGGTTACAGTTGAAGTTCTAGGTGATTTCTCAAACAGCGTCAATGAACCACCGTCGCTTCTCGTGAACATTGATTTTTTCATATAGCCGTAAATTACCACGTTATCTAATATATTCCTTCAAAAAATCTCAATATGTTTTATAAAAACTGAAATGAATATTATAAATTGATCAAATTTTATTTCTTCAATAACCCATAGTACCTTTTATAGAAAAAATATAAAAATAATCAATTATTTTTAAAAAATTCATAGTTTAATGAATATAGAAAAATAAATATATAAGAAAATAGAGTAATAAAAAATTTCCGCTAGATGTGGCATGGTAGTATACAAAAATGACGATTTACTTTATTATAGAATATGAATGGTTCACATTTAGTTAAAATTTAATATCCATTGTTATATATTTTTATACATAATAAAATTGAGATATTTAGTTTGAGTAACTTTTATATAAAAATAAAATTTAAGGTTGCATTTAAACTTTTAATGAGTATATTTCTGCGAGACAGAACCATTGAAGATTAAAATACTTGAAAGTTAAATTCAAGTATCAGATTTATTAGTTTTAAAACTATTTTAAAAGAAATTACCTGCGGCGGGATAACACTTTCCCCGGTCTCCCCTAGTCTAAATAAGTGGGTTAAATTTTGGGGACACGTGACTGATAGGGTTAACAAATTTTATATATGTAATGTAGTTCTCATTCATAATTTATTTATGTATCCATGCAATTAGCTTATAATAAACAATGAGGGAATATTTTTTGATGTAGGTATCAAAAATATTTTTGTTTATTAAAGATATTCTTTTTATTCATATCTTATATTTTCAATATATATAAATTAAATTTTAACCATCAATATTCTACAGATACAATGTCAAACTTCACATATTTATACACAAAACAAATAATAAATTCTTTTTAATTTTTATAATTGTTCATTTCACTCAAAGGCTAAGCTAATTTTTAATCCACAAATCCAATGTCTTATGTGCTTGCAATTTTTTTTATAAAGATAGTTTGGTAGTGTTTCATTTGTAGTTATTAGTTAGGCTTCCTTTTTCTTTTTACCTATATCATATTCTTTAAATTTTTCTTACATTTAAAAACTTCTATATTAAAATATATGAATTAATTGATATTTTAAAGAAAATTTGGACTTTTTAAGATTAAATCAGTAAATAATTTATTAAATTAATAAACTCAGTCATAGAAAGGTTTAATTATATAATGCAATTTAAAAAAACTAGAAATAATTTAATCAAATAAAACAACTATCTAAAAAAAAGAAGAAAAAGATTAATTCCCCTTGGAGTTTTTCGGTGAGTTTACATATTTGGGAGCCTATATTATTGAAGAATAATACCATATAGTAAGTTTGGCTGATATGATTGGTATGAAAATATAATCGTCGGAAATTTCTGAATATTTAGTAATTTTTTGTTTTTCATTTTGGTTAAGGTGTTGAAGAATTCATTGATGAGAGCCAGATCAATACAATAATTCCCATAAAAGAAATAACTCTTTTTCATGGTATTTGACTAATTCCATAGGGGCATTTATTGTCCCAAATAAAAAATACCAGGAGATTCTAGTATATCAGTGCTGATTTCAGGTGACGTTAGATGATAGTTATATTATTTTTGTCAATGATTGATTGTTTAAGCTATGTCTTCCTTTGCATCTAAGAGTGAGTTACATTCTGAAGTATATGGAAGTTATAAAAAAATTTTAGTTTTATTTTTTAAGAGACGTTAATTTGGAACGAGGTTCCTCGGGGTAGCTATTCATTGTGTGTGGGACGTTCCGCTCTCAATGGACGCTTAACCTCGCGAGTGGTATAAGAAATTAGTTATTAAATAATATTTCATTATGATTTATGAATGATCCTCTTTTAAAAGGGGCCTGAAAATTTAGAAATTAGGCTCAGAACGGGTTCAGGACTAAAAAAAATTAAACCGAGCAGGACCTGAAAAATAAATTAACAGAGAAAATAGTGTATTCTTAAAATAATGATAAGGATTATTTGTGATTAGGACAAAGCAATTAGTAATTTTTGCTTCATTTATTTTTATAAAAATGCGTTTAGGTTATATTTTCTAGTTAAAAATTTCAAATCGGGCTTAAAGCAAAAAATTTAGGTTCAGGCCGGGTGAAAATTGAAAAATATTTACGGTTGGGCTTAAGAATTAATAAAAACTTCGAATGGGCTAGGTTTGTGACAAAATAAATTTAATTTGCAAATGCCATTGCTCCATAATTTTATTCATTATAATTCAATAACATATTATTCTATATCACAATTCTTGTCATTATTACTCTGGAAGGTCAACTTCAGGATCCATATTAATAAAACTCTGGGGAAGAGAGTATAAAATTTCATTTAATTGTAAAAAATAATAATATTAAGTTAATACTTTCAGTGTAAGGTCCTTACTATATATGCAGGGAAAAAATTATGGTCAAATTAAAAAATTTTTTAAATGGCCTTCAGTAGATGATTAAAATCGAAAAATTCAGAATTTCTATGGAGTCCATATTTCGACAATGTATTCTTTAATTATGCTCTCTCTTATATGATAGTATATAAGGGTGTACCAATACCCTTTTAAAAAGGCCGATCTGATCCGATATCATATCTGATTTTGTATTCTATAAATATACTAATAGTTATAATTTTTAATATATACATCTACTCATCTCATACATTTTTAACAGTATAGCACCTATAATTTAACTATACCATAACAAAAGTCATTTAAATATATTGTAATGATCAGTTATAGTTTATATTCCTGAATCTAAAAGTATATAAATATTTTTATCGATAAATCACTTATTTATATAATAACATAATATATTTACATAATAAGTAATAAACAAATATATTTTGAAATTTGAATTTATATTAAGACACCATTTTATCGGATCAAGAAATTTTATAATATCGCCCAAAACTAATATTTAAAAAAAGATGAGATATCGACCCGATCCGATCTGATAAAAATCTCGGCACATTCCTAGTTATATCATAACACTCCAATAATGAATGAAACTAAACCGAATACCTTTTTTAATGATGCCGTCAATCGATGGATCGAATTTATAATCTTAACCACTTCGTACCCATCAATATGATACGTGATCACAAATGGTTGGTCAATTTAGACCATTTCACAATAAAATTACAGATAATTTATTTATATATTACCAAATTTTATTATCACATCATATACACATAATTACTCAACCATACTATATTAAATTTAATAAATAATTTATTTACTAAATATGAAATTTCAAATTATGATAAATTCTTTTTTAAAATAGGCTTCGACATTTCGACGATAAAAATATTCTTGAGCAGATTTCCGTCTGAATAAGCATTTTTTCTGGGGATTGTATCATTTAAGTTAAAGGTTGATTTTGAATGCAAACCCAAATGACTGTAGTATAAAAACCTATAGTTTTAATGTTTTTATATAAAATTCTTATTTATATATAGATATATTAAAAAAGAAAAAATCGAAGACCTGCAGAAGTAGATATCTATTTTTGTCGGGCTGGGGCTCAGAAAATGATCTATTTTTAGCCCGACCTGGATTTTTAAAATTACATATATAACATCCCAAACCCAGACTTGCAGGTCTCTGAGAAAATAAAGAAACGAAATGAAGGTTGAAAAATAAAAGCAAGGATTTCATCTCCGTTTAATGGCAATTTCCAGGTTTACCTAGTCTGATTTCCATCTGATTTTTGCATTTTTGACGGTCCTGAGAATCAATATTTGAAAGATTCATTTTTCTCATATCCGCAGCTATCATCTTTATCCATGACATCTTGGGCCCTCCCCCAGGTTTTGAACTGTCTACTTCCATCAAGGTGCATCTCTTACTCAGTTATCTTTTATCCTACGCTTTACATGCCCAAACTATCTTAGTCTATTTTTTTGCATTACCACTCCAATCATTTCTATACCCATTCTTGCTAGCAATTCCTTGCTAGTTTTTATCTCTCTCAGAGATACCCCACATATCCTACTAAACATCCTCATCTCTGTTCTTTCCAATTTGGCTTCGTGGGCCGTTTTCATTTCCCATGTTTCGCCGCAATAAACTGAACAACTCTTCACACAGCTTAAGTAAACGTTTCCCTTTAACTTCAGTGAGATGTTTTTATTTGTTAGAATAGATGACATCACTCTGAACTTCTTCAATAGTGATGTTAAAAGTTACTTTTGAAACATAACTAGTTACAGTTACTAGTTAAATTGGCAAAAACATAACTAGTTACAGTTACTAGTTACATTTTTACAAAAGTAACTAGTTATTAGTTACAGTTATTTTCAAAAGTAACTAGTTACTTACTTTATACATCCTTCATATGCGCATTATTTATTTATTGACTGCATTTATTTAATATAAAAAAAATTAGGATAAACAAAGTATAATCAGTTATTTAAAATAATATATAATTTATTTATATAAAAAAATATCGCAAAATTGAATATTTACATCGAATATAAAAATATATATTTGCATTGAAAAAAAAATATTTATTTTTCATAAAAATTAGAATCTAATAAATGTTTATTTGCTTTTAACAACAAATTAATTTCTAAGTTATTATCTAGGAGACGTGCTCGTTTATCTCCAAAAATGAGCTTACCTAGACTGAATAAGCGCTCTACGGGAGCACTTGATGTTAGAACAACATTATATTTAATAAAGAGTAATTTTAACTTTGGGAAATCGTTATATAAAAAAAAGTGTTGTTATTAGATTTGATAAAGTTTTCTATAAGTTCATTATCCAGAATATTTTGGCGCTTTAGGTCAAAAAATCCAACTACATCAAGTGATGTTGGTTTTGAGCATGATTCATTCGTCTGGGATTCACTTTGAGGTATTAAGGTATTTATTAAATTTAAAATTTCCTCCTTTTTTGCTTTATTCCTTTCTTGCCTAATCCAAGGCCAGTCAGTTTTAAATAAAGGGTGAAGAATTGCAGCAATGATGTTGTCATTATCATAAAGATTATTAAACCTATAACATGATATTATTAATTTATAAATAATTATTTGATTTTAGTTACCTTTTTTCAATACTAGCTAATATAGTATCCTTTAGAGGTTGACAATATTATAATCCCTGCACATCTGCCATACATATAAGTATTTGTGTTATTGTTGGGAACAATCAGACATTTTCACAAAATTTTAAATTAATAAATTTTATTTAAAAAATAAATTTAATTTAAAATTAATTTATCACAACATATTAAAAATAAAATTAATTATTTGGATATATCTTTAAAAGTAACTAGTTACTTTTGGCAGTTACATTTCAAAAATTTTAACTAGTTACAGTTACTAGTTACAATTTTAAAAATATAACTAGTTACAGTTATTTTTTAGCCAAAATGTAACTAGTTACGTAACTAGTTATTTTAACATCACTATTCTTCAATGCTTCTGACCCTTGCAAATACAGCACCACCACCTGCGTTTATTAGCATATAATCCAAATAAGAAAACTTTTCCACTTTCCTCAGTGTAAACCCATTGCCAATATCCAAACCACCATTTTCAACGTTATCAATATTATGTACCTCTTTTATGCACGTTTTACAAATAAAGGTCAATCTTGCTAACATCAGACTCATTCTTTCCCGCTACATCATTTATGCACCCATTTCTGACATCTGGTGCATTGGATTCAATTTCCAGCAATTCCTTTCCCACATACACCACAAAGCCAGTTGCCGTATTCCTGCATCTTCAGATTTTCCCCACCAATCATAATCTCTGTCTTTACTGCATTCATTTTCAGACCCTTTGCTTCCATAGCCATGTTTCATCTACTAATTTTATCCCTCAATGCTTGCCTTGATACAAGGTCATCTGTATATAATAGCTCCTAGGGAATCACGCCCATCAAATCCATTACTAAGATAAATATTAATGGACTCAGCATGGATCCTTGATGAAGTTATACCCTCATCTCAAAGCGTTCACTATCACCATACTAATGGCTTAGTGATTAAATGATTAATGAATTTAGCCAATCTAATTGTCATAGAAGGAACTCTTCCAGAAGATTGGCGAAAAGGTATAATTATGCCAGTATACAAGGGGAAAAGTGATCCTTATTTCGGGTATTATAGAACTATAAAACTCTTGGAACATGCAATGAAAGGATTTGAGAGGGTGAGAGAAGCGGATAAGGGGACAAACAAAAATTGATGAAATGCTGTTTGGTTTAACACTGGAGAAAGGCACGACAGATGAAATTTTTGTAGTGAGACAAATACAGAAGTATCTTACAAAGAAAAAAAACTGTAATATACGTTTGTTGATTTGGAGAAGGCGTTTGACAGGGTGCCGAGCGAGGTTACTAGATGGGCCTTGAGAAAATTAGGTGTGGAAGAATGGTTGATTATCGCAGTGATGGCAATGTATGTGTAAGCACACACTGCGATACGGAATATCTCTACTCTGCCTCATTTTAATCATTAACAAAATATACTGTAAATATAAATCGTCATCGTTAATATTTATCGATTTAAGGAATTGCGATTATAAGGACTGGGAAAATTACAAAAAAAAAACGCAATCATTTTTTTAAATATTGAACCGTAGTCCTATAATGAATATTCTAATCTCAAAAAAGAGAGTAATGAACAGCATCAACTAAATATTAGGCAATTTTATATAAAATTCATGTGAATACGGAAATTTGAGAGCCCAAAACGAGTTCGACGTTAATTTCAAATCGGTTTTCGCTAAATCGGGCATAAATACGAACGAATCGGCTTCATTTTGGGAAAATAATCCTTCCTCAGGCCATGCATCATCGTCAAGCAGTTCTGAGTCATCACCTTTAAATTTTTTCTTGGAAAATCGGATTTTAGGGCTAAGGGTAACATGAATGGGTGCGTTCGGTATAGCTATGTATACTTTGTTGAGCCTAGCTAGATATTTGCTAGTAGTGTGACTTAATATGGTGGTAGAGACTTGAGTTTTGCTTAAAAAAATATTGTTATTTTTTAAATTTGATATTTATTTAATTTTTTAAGTAGTTTTTATGGAGATTGACGAACATGAAAGGTTACCAGATTCAAATAGTAAGAATCGCCCAGGAAACCTAAAGCTTTGATGAATATAGGCAGGTTGGCATCAAACGAAAGAAAGTAAAAAAAAATTTAAACTAAATTAAATCTTTCCCGATTTCTATTTGTTTCCCCTTAATTTTCCCCGACAATCTGACAAAGAAGACATTTGAAACTTATAACAAATTTTAAATCAAAATATTTAGCAAAAAAAGCTGATTAGGCTTTATGAATGAAGAATAACAATTAGTTATAGGTAAGTTCATGGTGATGCAGGGAGATCGAATATGAATATATACAACATTTTTTAGATACACGATCTATAAAAAACGTGCGATTAAAAAAAGCTTTGACCGATCTGCAAATAGCCATACTAGTCAAAAGCTGATAAACAATGACTACAATAAAATTTGATAAGGTTATGTTTCTTAGGAGGAGTTTTGATAATTTTTTAAAATTTAAATCATTTTTAACCCGAGTTTTAAACAATAAAAAATTCTCAGCAATAGCAATACTCAAAATAGGTAAGTCAACTTTAAAAAAACATATTAATATAATATTTATTCAATATAAAAAAAATTACGCGCAAGGACAAAGGCGGTAGAGTGGCATTTCGGTGCGGAGTAAATGATCCGCTTGCATCTGTATTTAAAAAAATTTAATTAAAATTCTTTTTTTTCTTTCTCTCCGTAAAAATAGACCTTAATATCTGTGCGCCGACGAAACTATCGGCGGCCGGCACGAGTTTCAAAAAGATAATCGGCGCGCGCCGCCGTCAAGATAGGCAGCGTAAATTGACGCACCGTTATAAATCTTTTATAACATATATTTTTTAAATTATAAGAAAATTAAATTAACATACGCACTACACTACAGATATCTTTGCGAAGAAAAAACTCATTATAAATGTTTTACATGTATAAAAATAATTTTATTTAAATTTTCCGGACATATTGATATCTTCTAGAATTCAACGTCAGCGGTAGAAAATTTTTTTTCACTAAGTGTGCTTTTTGCCGGAACATAAATAATTCTTTTTAGCTAGCTTGGAAAGATTAAGAAGTTCTATCCTCTTCTCTCTCTAGAAATTAATAAATTCTATCTTGTGAATAAGGTTTCCGACAAGATATGTCATTCTTGTTCTAATTACAGGCGCGAGCGGGATCGCAAATTTGCTCATTCTCGTAAATAAAATTTTCAGCTAATAAAAATTTTCCCATCACACCCCCCACCACCTCCTCCCCCAAAAATGTATACAATATATCATTATAAGAAAGAATTTTTAAAAAAGTAAAAATTAATAACTTTTTAAAATAACAACTATAATTCAAAATTTTAGAAAAAAAAGGATTTTAACAAAAAAGTGAAAACCAAAAATTAATTTTACAAAAATCAATATAGCCAAAGGTCTACAATAAGTGTAGCTAAAGATCTTCAACAACATTTATGGGAAGAAATTTACCTAATAGTGATCCCCCTTCCCATAGCAAAATCCTGGATACACCAGTACAAGAGAACCAGATTATGTAAACCCTGACCTATGTATAAATGGTGTTCGTATTCATTTAATTAAACACCTTTTCTAACATTAGGTCTCCATTTAAAAAATATTTAAAATTATGGTAGCTTTATTTTAGACTATTAAGTGATCTATAGATGTCAAAAAATTATGTTAAAATAGATTTAAAATAAGAATTCATCAAAATCCTATTTGCAAAAAAATTTACAACAGTGATGTTGACCAATTATTAAAATAAAAATGCAGAAAATATGGAAATTATTATTAAAAATTTTGCGCCGTATCGGCGGTGCGTCTGCGTGTTTCTATAATCGGCCGCGTTTTCGGTGTGGCCAAAAATATCGGCGGCCGACCGACAGGTCTAATTATAATATAACCATAGATCTATAAAATATACATATACTGCTCATCAATTATTTAAAAAGGCACCTAAAAAAGGGTCATCCTTATGATTATAATATTAAGTCCACGTAATTACTCATTGGTAACAGAGCCTAAATGAGTTATGTTTTCGGTATAAATTTTTTCAAACTTTTAGCTCACGATTTCAGGGAAGGAGATGTTAATGCGGATAAAAGATAATTCATTTTAAAAAATTTGGTTTTTTTTATGAATGTTATCTAATTTTTTGAGTAGTTGTAATTAAATTTCTTCAACCACCAACTTATCTACGCCTCAGTTCAACTTAAATTAATTTAATGAGGATTTATAGATGAAGCCCCCCTGAGGCCTAAAATATAAAATAAATATTGACTAGACTATGATGCATGTTCTAATAGGCTCTCCTTTCTGTTAGATGGTAATACAATACCAAATTATTTTTCAAATAATTATACTAGTTATATTATATATATTTTTCGGCCACTATTTTGGCTAGAAAAATAAATTAGGTAGTATAAGAATAAAAATTAAAAATCAATGTTAATATCGGATCGGTATCCATATATCATTTGTGCGTCATAAATTGACAAAAGTATATGATAATAGTAAATGAAATTATATAATTTATGTAAAATATTTTACACTAAAGATAAATAACTTAAATGATGAATTAAAAAATTTAATAATATAAAAATTTAATTGAATAGCTCTAATTATATCATTTTGAATTCAATAATAACCGATTAGATGTTTAATATTTTGTATATAAGCGCGTCTATACAAATGTACAAAAAATGATTTTAATATTAAATATAATATTATAAAATCTGATAGATGGCGTCATTTATTTTAAAATAAAGAATTAATTTTTTTTAGCACTTAATTTATATATATAGAGCATAAAAGATATTAAATTTTTAAAATTGAAATTAATAATCTTTTTTATATAATTACTTAAAAATTTGTACTCGAATTAAATATTCTGAAATTATTCAAATCTTGTAGTAAAATTTTAAAAATTCAAAAAAAATGAATATCACAAAAACCATTATTAGCGTTAAAAAATTATTATTATAAATATAGGGATCCGATGCGCAAAAAATTCTGTTCGTTTCTAGTAAAAGTAATGGTTGATTTTCGTAAAAATATAATGAGTTCGGGTTGAACCATTAATAACCCTTTCAAAACCTTTTTACATAGAAACATATTTAAAATATGTATCGAGAAGTTTTAAAAAAAATTGTCATTAGTAATTAATCTTTCTTTTATTATTATTGTACATGGATTCGTATATAATTTAAATAAATACAAAATCCTTTTCTGTCAAATTATATCACAAAAGAAGGAATAAATTTTATGGCTGAGAACTTGGGTAGTAGTTGACACCGTCAAATAGGATATTATAAAAATGGAAATAATTATCAATCATACAGTTGTAATATTAACAGATTTAAACCAATTCAGTTAACTTTTTAATGGGTCGATTCAGATTCAGGTGACAAAAATTTCTTACTTATCTTTTAAGGTTTTAATTTTTTTAATGAAAATTTTTATTAGAGATCGGTACGGCCTGATCAGGGAAAAAAAATTCGGGAAAGACAATTTGTACAAAAATTTTTATGGGCATTGAGTAATTATTTTCTCTTGTTTTCCTTTCTACTACTTACAGAGATTTGCAATGCCCGGACCGGGTAATGACTGAAAAATTTTTTGGGGCCAGGTAGTGTAAAAAAATTAACTAGCCTCCCCGGGCAAAAAATTTTTTGTATATATATTTGATGAATTTAGATATTTCATAGAAGTGATAATCCATAAAATATGGTGTTTTTAATTTTAACCACTGCCCAAGATTATATAAAGGTGTTAATTTTGATGTTCAACAACATATTTTGGTTTAGGCCTTATATTTAAAATAAAATTTAAAACCGGGTTGTCATTTATGACCTCTATTCCTTTTTCTATGTTCTTATTTACATTTCTTTCATTAATCCTGATTTCAATTTTTTTTTTAAATATATAATATATTCACATATTTTTTCTTTGTCGAAACCGTAAAACCATCTTCAACTGAATTCGCTATGAATTTGTGCTTTCCGTAAACGCATTCATATTCAAATCCAAGGTAGAACAATAAAGTAGTAGCCTGAAAAGAATCTGATAGATAATATAATTAAAAAGAATTAATAAAGAATAATCTCTTTCGTTTTTTTTCTTTCTTCCCTCCTTCCATTTATTTTTCATTTTTTAAAAAATAGTATTTATTAAATTCAATGTCAATTGGCATTAGAACCGGTGTAAGAATTCAGGTGATAGAAATGAAATGCTGATAATTTTTAAATAAATGACAGTAGAATCTAGATTAAGAATATTAGAGATAACGGTTAACATTAAGTTTAGTGGGAATTGGCGACAGGGGGTGGATAACAAAAAATTTCTTTTTGAAAAAAAGAATTAATTTAGTTTAAAATAAATATTCCTTTCAAAAGCTGAGATACACAACGGTCCGTGGATACAAAATTATTAACTTTTTTCAGATTGTTATTTAAATTTATCTTATTAATACTTATAATTTCTCATTAAGTCATAAATGTTATAAATAGAAAATATTTTTATTAAATTTTGATTATTCATCTGACTCAAACACAAATTTAACTATTTCTAAAAAATTTCAAATTTTCAAAAAAATGATAATAGGACCTGTTTTTTCGATAGAAAAAAGTTTTCAAATTTTATCATTGCCAATTTTGGACAAATAAGTACAGAGAAGTGTGGTTTCAAATTATTTAAAATTTTATCAAAATTAATTTAAACAAAAAAAAGTAATAAATTCAGCTCTATTAAAAATGGCTAGTTAATTTTAAAACTTTAATTTATTTAATAACTTATGTAAATTTATAATTTCCAATATACCTTTTAAAAAAAATTAGGTGAAATTTCTGTTAAAATTTCAACTACCTAGAGATAATAAGGGAAAAAAAACTGTCAGTTCACGATTTATTTCAAAAAGCTTAACTAATTTTAGAAAAACTATTTCTGTTTTAATAGACATTAATTTTATAGGTTAATCAGTTTTAAATTTCAACAAAATTTTAAGTAATAAGCGTAATATGACCTTCTTGATCCATCCCTCCTGAGTTTTTGTCATTTGTAGTTTTGACATGTTGAATCTTGTGGTACCAGGATAAAAGCTTATTGGAGTGGGGTAAGTAATTGGGCATATCTAATCCTATATTTTATGGAAAATAGTAATAACATTAAATAAATATATTTTTTTTATAATGCACTTTTCTTTAATCATTTCCTTCCCTCCTTTTACTTCGATTTTTTTTATTATATATTTATATATTTTTTACAATAACCAATATCTGGAATGTAGGATATGAATGGACCATAATGAACCAAGGACCAAGAAGAGAAATCGAGATTTTGAGATAAAGAAAGATCATTTTGATTGCACTTGAATTCTAGGTACGAGGATACATAGACATAATTCATGGAGAAGTTCTGTCGATAAATATGTTTGAGTAAAAGTGTGTATTTCAGTTTCTTATTCATTTTTGGGCTGGTGGTGGAGGTAGTATTGTTATCTATTAGGATATTTGCTTTATAAATGTAAGATTGAGAATGTATTTATTTCTTTTTTTCTTCCCTTACCTTTTTTTTAAATCTTGTAAATGTCGGAAAAAAAAGATGATTAACCTAAAAAAAATTACTAGTTTAGATGATAAATTAATTAGTTTATCGTCTGATAAAGTGATAGAAAAATTTAATTTTTTTTTCCAGTAAACTTTTTAAAAAAATGATTTTTTATGTGGAAGAAATTTTTCAAACCTTTGGCTAATCCAAAGATATTTTCAATTAAATCTAAGTGTTTCCATTCAGGCTTAATGACGTTTAATACGCTGTTGGCGATAGATATGTGAGGCACTGTGTTGTATATATAAAATAAAATTATGATATATATATATATATATAAAAGTATAATATATTATACAGATCTCATTTTATACTATTTAAAAATTTACTTTATTTTATTTTTTCTATTAATTTTTATCTTTCGTTCTTTTTTATTTTTCTTTCCCTTCCTTCTTCCCTATAATAAGGGAGCTCTGAATCGGACATTCAAATCTAATGCGATGACACCTGAATCGGACATTCAAATCTAATGCGATTACAGAATTTTTTTAAAATATGTCAGATTTTTAAGGATCCGAATCTAATTCGGGGAAAAACAGGACTGAGAACAGAGTTAGATTTTTCAAGAAAGGCGGATTTTTTATTTACTAAAAAAGAATAAATCTGTGCCAGTCCGACTCCTCGACAAAAATTTAAATATTCGGACTGACTGAGTTTAATTTTTCTAAGCCTGACATATCCGATTCTGGTCGGTTCAGGCATGTTCTAACTATCTATCAATCATTTTCCTCGAGCATAAATGATCTTATAAAGGTAGTTGCTAAAAAAATGAAAAGTTAATATAGAAAACGATTATGGAGAAGGTATAAATATATTTTTATAATAATAATAATAATATAAAATTAAACTTTCAACATTATCCTTGCAATCATCAGCATTCAGGCCCGAAGATGGAAAAAATTTGGATAAAACAATTTTAAACCTTTTGTAACAACATGCTAGCCTCATCTCTTCGTAAAAATTGTAATTAGCTTTCTAATTAGAAATATATTATAATACAAATAAATTTATACTATTTCAATAATAAAACAATTTTTAATAAAAAACGATTTAATCAAGGCGTGATTAGACATAGTAACCTATTATTTATTATTATAGTATTACTTATTCTTTTTTAAACATTATTTTGGAGGAGAAAATAAAAATTTCGAATATTTATATTATAATTCCCAAGGGATTAATTTCGCAACCTATATATTTAAAATGAAACGCTAACGTTCGTCCAGCCCCATCTTTAATGGGAGGCCCCTTAAGATGCTATATCTTAAACTGGACACATCGAAAAAATGACCAACATGGATAGGGACACGCCCCAAAGAGGCTAACCTTGGAAAGAACGTTTGAAAAAATATATAATTAAAATTTCTTTTATTTACAAAATTCGCGAAAAAATAGAAAATTTATTTTTAAAGTGACTTATAAAAAGCCTGTTTTTAAATATAATAGCCTACCATTTCTTCTTCAATTACCGCAGGGCTATTCTCATTAATTATTTCTTCCATTGAAAATGGCGTGAAGATATTATACATATAAAAAAGATATTTATTCATAAAAATTGATATTTATTCTTAAAACATGTTAGTAGACGCAATTATGTTTTTTAAGAAATTCTATTTTTTTAAAAAAAAACTAAACTTAATATAATTATTATTCTGTCTTTTAAGTCTTTTTGAAACGCGTCCCAAAGATGCTAACCTTAGAGGGGACACGTTTCAAGGACAATCTGACAGAATATGCCCACCTTTTCCTAGGCAGAAGTTTCATCATCTATAGTCAGAGTACTTGTTAGTGAAGAAAAATAGAATGGAGGAGTGTTTGGTGGTTATCATTAGCAAAGGAATAGTTAATATGGTTTCGACTTAAGTTCCACAGGCCGATTGAAGAAAGGGGAGGGTCTTGTTGAGTTAGGGATATGAGGATCGAGGAGAGGACGATTTTAAAGTTCGATGAAAGGTGTATAACAGGCATTTTGAAAGAGAAAAACAAGTTGAATACCTCCTAAATCTTAGGACGTTAGAAAATTCAAATTCTAAAGGAAAATAAATGAAAAAATTCTGGTTCTTATAAATTATAAAAGAGGGTTCAAGGTTATATTTCCTAGATTTGTCCTAGTTTCGAGGATTTTAGTTTACAGGCTTCGATTCTCAAAAGAATATTTTTTTCAAATAATTTTTAAGTTTATCATTTGATTTCAATTTTTAAAAAATCGTGATTATCAAATAAATCGATTTGTATAATTAAAAAAAATATGATTTTTGCAGGCCCTAAATAGAATAGAAGTGAAGAATTGCAATAAAATTGAGATTATTTGTGTATGTAAAAAGGGGGGGGGGATGAATGGATAAATTCACCGTAATGAAGATGATAGGGGCAAACCCTGTGAGAGACTGAAGAATTCGTATGGAAGTGGTCAAACTGGAGTGCACTCTATATTAAGAACGATATTAAGTAGTACTTAGTAATATATATTAAGGAAGAGGAGAAAGGACTCAAAAGATCAATTTTTGGATTTCCAGAAAAGATCGTGTTTAAAAAAAAGAAACAACTTCGTATTCTGAGCAGGGATCCAAACCGAACCTGAACCGAACCATTAAACCGCTAAATACCGGTATTTTTATCGAACCTAAACCAAACCTAAACCGCTAAAAAATTCTAGCCGAACCTGAACCGAACCGCTAAAATGCCTCTGAACCGGTTCGATCCTCACGATGTTATGCCTATAAAATAATGTGTAATTATTACTAGTATATTGCAAAATTTTTAATTATATTCGAATTGTTTTAAAGATTATCATCAATCACATTTCATAGAAATATTCTTCCCACATAATTCGAATGTAGGTTTGAATACAAAAGTGTTCAAACCGGTTTTTAGAGGTTCGAACCGAACCAATATTTTAATTTTTTAGGAACCGAACCTGAACCGTTATTTTTATCCGAACCTGAACCTGAACCGAAATCCGTTTCGGTTTGGATCCCTGATTCTGAGGAGAAAAATGATATATTTTAAAAACAGGTTTAATATCAAAAATTGTAGTAAAGTGACCATACCATGTATTTTCCTACTCATTTTATTTATCTAAGAACAATGATTTTTTTTATCATAGCGAACATTATATGATATTATTAGGTTTGTGAATTGCAATATAAGACACAAGAAATTATTATTAAACAAATCTATTTTTATTTATTTTTTAGAAATATTATAGAAAAAGATTTTCATTCTTAAAAAGAATAGGATTTATTTTTTTTAAAAAATTTCCCCAATTCAAAATGGCGAATATTTTAAAGCATGATTTTTAAAAAGTGAGAATGTATTAATATCTAAATGTTAATTTCATAATCTAATCCACATTTATGCCCATAGCTTAAAATTTCTTAATGGTATATATTAATTGTAACAAATAACAAGATAGAAATTAAAAAAATATAACCTTAACGGTAAAAGTATGGCGTCCTTCTAAACTACCAAAGGTAAATCCACAATCACAAGAAAGGTGGACGATATTTGGCAAATTTTCGGCGGAATTTTTGTTCCCTTCTGATCTTTTACCTTGGGCAATATTACTTTTGTATGAAGTAGAGTGGTTTTCGCATTTAAGATCAATAAGCAACTCAGAATATTCCAGATTTTCCATTTTTGACTCACGATCTTGTTGGTTAAGCGGGGGTTGGGATGGAAGAGACATTTCTATTTTGTGCTCAGTATTCAAATGTGATTGTGAAGGGGACAGTTCCGGAATGTATAAGTGAAGCTATTTTTTGTTAAAAGCAATTTATTATGATTTATTTTATTTTCATTCCATTCACCTTATTTTATCCACTCTTTCGTTCCTTTTGATTTTTTCTTCTCATTCTTTTCTTATCAATTGTTTAACATTCATAAGAAATTCCCCTGTAAAATACTCTTGCTAATTTTATCACCATAACCTTAAAACTTTACAGCCTCTTTTCTTTTCTTTCTCCTTTTCTCTTCCATTCTTTCATTATAATTTAAAAAATAATAATTTTAGCTTACTTCACAAACACACCCCTTTCCAAATAAATTCATAGCCGGACAAAGCTTGACTATTTTATCATCGCGATAGTACATTTTGAAACATTTTAGCATTAGCTCTCGGCTCCTTGACTCTACAAATCCAGAATTTCCTCTAGCATTGCGATGAAAGAATACCGACGTAGACTTAAGCTTGAATATAAACATTACCGATATATAATAACCTTGAGATGGTTATGTTTTAAGAAATCGATAAATTTTTTGTAAAATTATCATTTTATAATTCACCCCAGCTTACTTAGAGTGCTTATATTTCTTTCAAAAAAGTTTTGATGATTTCAAATATTTAGAAAAGCTAAAAAAAAATATTCGCTTAAGTGTAAAGAGTCGTTACCTCCCATTGTGGTGAAGATTAAGATAAACGCTTATCATCGAGCAACTCGGATAATAAAAAATCAAAGAGACAAAGCTTAACCGAGAAATATATAAAAATTGGAGATGATCTAGACACTATACCAATTACTGGAATTAAATCCTTCACAGTCTAATTCTCCTTCAAATTCTTGAGGTTAAATTAAAACCTAATAAATGTCTAGAGTATTCCAATTCTAAATCTACGTTAATTTTATTTATAAAATTTGGTGTTTATAAATATGATCATGTAAAATTCTCAAAAAATTAAGTCCGATGTTTAGCTCGAAATTGGCATTTAATGTAAGAAGCAATGTGTGGTGAAACCTTATTATGTTACCACTTAATTAAGGCATCAAGATTTTAATCTTGACCCCTTTGGGTGGCCCTTGCAAAATATCTACCCAAATGTTTATCAAAATGGTTTCTAAATATTGACTGCTCCTTATTTATGTTAACTTAAATTTTACAGTCTTATACAACAGGTTTTGTAATATTATACAAAAAAACGAGTAAAACTAGTTCTATGAATCTTTTGATATTGCACTCTTCTCTCCTTTGGTTGTTTGAAAAGATATTGTCTTTAAAGTACTTGAGGGCCAATTCACTAGCACTATTGCATATTCTTAATAAGAAAATTAATATATATATATATTAATAATTGGAATGATAATGTAGAGGGCTAACTTCTAAATAAAATTTTGAGCATACAAGTGGGAACTCAATAATTTGTGCTTTTAAAAATTTCTCTTGCTTACCATATATCTGGGTTTAAAATTAAATCTTTATCCACTTATTTTCTAACTAATTTTCTTCATTTTTACAATTCATTATTTTAATTATGAGATTGTTGGTTAAGAAAGAGTTCTAAGACTTACCAGATGTACCAATTTAATCCTAAGCCGGGTTTTTTTAATTTGGAAATTTTAAGGCCTGACCTTTATATTTTAAAGCCTGTCCAGGTTTCAATTAAGTTGTAAGGAGTCCATTCTTCAAACAAGGATACTTTTATTATTATATTTTCCTTACCACATAAAAATCTTATTCTAATCGAATTAACTATATGCAATAATTTACATAGTGATACACCGGTACTAGTGTTATTAAACGCCAAAATTTAAGCAAATTTTCCAAAACTGTTAACTTGATATATTATCCAGAAAAGGATCAGGCAAAATGTTTATAGATGGCACAAATATTGAGTTAGCCATTTTAAAAAATAGGCTAAAATCAAGCCATTTAACAAAAGTAAATCATACATAGCGATTCCCATTGAAGTGAGACCGTTTTAGATATCTTAATAAATATCTATATATTTGATTTATGAGGTAATATATCCAAAGTGGCCATTTACAAAAAACAAACCAAATACTTTATCTATAAAAAAAATACACTGGAGGGCTTGATTAACATACTCACAATTTGGATATATGCCCATATGGATTAGATCTGTCACTCAAAAAGGTATTGCAAAGTGTAGAGCAGTCTTTGATCCCTGAGTTATTGGCATCAAAAGCTTGTGATTCGTTTGAGGGTGAAGTAAGCTTGTTCATTTTTCAAAAATTGATTTTTATTTTTAAAAAACTTAAAAGTTTGTTTTTCCCGGGAAGTAAAATGGTCCAACATAATAAATGGGGAAGCATAGGAGTGGGGGGGGGGGTTGCTAAAAGGTAGATGGATATTATCTTTTTATTAATTTAGAACTAAAGTATCCTATTATCCTTTGGCTCTCAAACTTTTAAAATTTATGAACCCCTAAAAAAGGTTATTTAGGCAGCATATATTAGCGGTTCAACCCGAAGACAGGATTTGAAAATCTTCAAAATTTTTTAATCCCGTGTGATTAAATCTTTTGGGATTAAATCTCTTAAGAATTAGTTTTTTATGTTTATTATTTTATTAATTTTTCGATAAAATAATTTGATGTAAATATTTGTTTTAATATTTAATATTTTTTTGAATTATATTTTTTATAATATTTTATTTTTAATATTAATATTTCTTTATAATATATTTTTTATTTTTTTGAGGTATTTTTAAATGTGATTTTTCTATATAATTATTTTTTAATTAATTTTTTTTTATAAAATATTTTAATGGGTTATTTTTAATGGTGATTTTTTTCTGTAACTTTTTTTAATATATATATTTTATATTAATTTATTTTAAATAATATTTTTATGCTTTATTTTTAATCGTAATTTTTTCTATATAATTTTTTTTATTAAAACTAATTATATAGAAAAAATTGCTGCATGTATCACGTTCTGAATACTTAGAACTTACGAAAATCAAATCATCGTTATCTAAGGAAATCCTCAAATTACATTTTGATGATTATTCCTGGTTAAAAGCAAATTTGGCGTGCAAAACATGAGGAATTGGGCTACTATCTTTACAGTATGTTTATCTATTTTTAAATTTGTTATGCTCTAATATATCGTGTTTTTAATATATTTTAATGTAATTTGATAATAATGATCTTTTAAGCAATAAGAATTTAATAGTTAATAGTTTCTATTTTTTTATAAAAGGGTCCAATTCGATAAATCAGGGTTTATATATTGCCGCACTCACTACCCAACTATAATTCAAAAATTTTTTCTATTTAAAACAGTTATTCTAATTAATTAAATTCAAATTGCACTTTTTCAGGAATAGATTCCGGCTTCGGCACAAACAAATGTGCGAATATGAGATCCAGCAAAGGGACACAGTATATGGTCATTTGGCAGCGATCAACGATCACATTATCGCCTATAATTTCAGTAGTTCGTTTATCTTCTGCCTCAGCCATACGAACTTGAGAATCATGACAAGGGATTCTTTTGTTAAGTAGTTTGACAAAGCCTTCAGCATAATTTGGAGCTAATAGTTGGCTAGGGCTTGGGTCTGGAAGGTTTGAATTCATAAACTTTAGAATAATCAATAAATAAAAGAAAATAAGTAGAATTATATTTATTTTTAAAAAATTTTTAATTAAAATTGAATAAATCTTTGGAAAAAGGGAATTTATTGACATTAATGTAAAAATAATCTAAAAATAGGTTTAGTAGTAAAATTGACGGTGCTTGCGATTTTAAAAATCTGAATGATGATATAAAAATAATAAATTGGTTCAACTGCTATTTCAAACTTAATTATGGCCTTGGTATAAGTGGTATTCATAAATCAATGTAGTAAAGATGAGTAATTTTAATATAAAGATGGATGAGCATTATTTTTAAAAAAAACTTGATTATGGTGGTGATACAAATTCGTTTCAAGCCCGTTAAGTAGGAAGAAATTTGGCTCCTCCAGACTGTCATTATATATGATAGGCGATTCTTGCCTCTTACTAGCAATATGACCAACGAGGAATTGGGAAAATCTATCAGAGTGGGCACTGGCCAAAGGAAAATCGTACAAGAGAGGTTCGGGTTCGGCCTTCAAAAGCTCGTATTTATTATTGTAAGCGCTGAGAGAGTATTTGCAAAGCGGCCTAGATGCAGGCCAGGCGGGTGGAAGATGAGCTGACTGTTCAGGGGTCAATTGGGTCAAAAATGTGTAAAAATCGCTCAATTGTTTTTTGGAATCGAAGGAATTCCGTCCCTGCGTCTTAGATTTAGTAAGATTATCTCCCATATTTTCAGTACAAATTTGATCTATAGTTCCGTACTTGGGGATAGATGATTTCGATTCTTTTGAATCAAGGGAGAGTAAAGATAGATCATGCGATAAACTCGGAGGTCTATTATCTAAAATAAAAATAATTTAAATTCTACACAAAAATTCTGATAAAAACTATTCTCACTATAACCATCTTATCTACTAAGATGGCCAACTCGTCTTGGATAAATTTATCACTTTAAACGCAACATCTCAATCCTTATCTCAGCATAACATGAAATTGGCTTCGAAGTATCTTATCTTCAGTGAAACCGTCTTTCAAGACGAATTTACAGGGCTCTCAATAAGAAATAAAAAACACTTTTATTGTTAAATTACAAAATAGAATAGAAACCCGTAGTAATATAATAGTATAGTAATCAAGCGATAATAATGAGGATAAGAAATGACCTATATAATCCTGCGCTAAATCCTGGAATTCATTCATAATCTCCATGCATATAAAGCTCTGCTGATTGTCGTCTGACGAAAAATATTTGCCATGAAGAGAAGATTGACTGGAAAAATAATTCAAATTTTCCTTGAGAATAGAACATTTTTCGTCCCTGATGTATCTCATAAACACGAATTCTTGATTGTCTGGCAGTTGAAAACATTTGTCTTCACTTAAATTTTTTTTAGAATATATAAATCAAAAGAAATGAAATAAATTGAAGCAAATGAAATAAAAAGAAAGAGAGAGATGGAGAGAGGGAGGGAGGGAGGAAGGAAGGAAAGAAAAAAAGAAGCAAAAATAGAGGAATATATTATTGGAGAATTTTTTTATACCCTCTGATCAATGAAGTGGATTTGAAAATATCATAAATCAAGTCTTCCATCATATGGCATATCTTTTTTAAAGGGTCACTTTTCTATTAATTTTTTAATTTATAATTAAAAAAATAATTTATTCCTTCCAATTTCTTTATTTCTTACAGAGTGAAAATTGAAAAAAAATATATTTTCAAAAAGTTAACTGCCAATGTACAAATTAAGCTAATATGAGGTAGCCATTTTATTCAAAAACGAATACGAATTGAATAATTAATTATTCGTAATCGATTCATTTAAACAAATCTAATAATTTACTATGCGTATTAAACGAATAAATTTATTATTATTTGTTTGTAATAATACGAATAGTAAATTATTCAATAAGTATCCTTTTTTATTCAATCCATTTTTTAACGCTTTATTTGTGGTTAATATAGAGGTAGTCAATAGCGTATTTAGGACCCCCCCCCCCCCAAAAAAAAAAAAAAATTAAAATAAATATTATATTCTTTATTTGTCCCTTCCACCAAAGACATTCTGGGTATGCTAATGGAGATGGTTATAATACAAAATATTATGACAAGCCTTTTTAATAGGACTTAATAGGGAATGATATAAAAATGGATTATAATCCAACTCAAGGAAATTATTTCTAATAACAGGGCATATCAGATTTGATATGAGTTATTAATAAAAAATAAGTAAACTTTATTGAAAACCATTTTTAATATATCTTAACCCTCGCCCAGATTTCTAAAACCTTTAATTATATCACTAACATTTAATACTACATACTTGTTTAACATTATATATATATAAAAAATTTCCTTGAGTTGGGTTATTATCATGGAAATGATCGGTCAGCTTTGGAGTAATTTTGAAAGATGGGGTTTCAAAAAAAAATTAATATATTCTTCCATACTAATTCTAAAATGATATAAATTTGAAATTACTTTTAACATGTAAGGGATGCGCGTATTAGGATATGAAGGTATTGTCTCGCGTGATTTCAATATATGCTTAATATCTTCAGTGAGAATTTCATCTGTTTTGAGAGGACATTTCGTAAATGCAAATAAAACTCTGGGTGGTGATTTGTTGAATAGTCGGAGAGAGAAATAGTGTTCCAGGTCAATTAATATCGCATCATAGTTGGGCAAATCCAATTTTATATTCCTATCCTTGATGTCTTTAATTACTAGCTTGGAAAAATTTATGATGATTTGACTTTTGACATATACTCTATATGAAAATTAAAATTATATATTGCATTTTCTGTTTAGCCAAATTATAATGTTAATGATATTTATTTTTCAGTGGTGTACCATAAATTCACCCTCCAAAAAGAATTCTTATGGGGACCCATTACGTTAATATTTTTAGCCTATGCCTTGGAGAGTATTTTTCACAGAAATAAATCGGTATGGTTGTGCATCTGCTGAATAAAAATTTTTTGATGGTTAAAATATTTTCTGGGAGAAAAAGTTATACAGTATAAAAAATCGAACAAGAAATGTTATCAAATTTATTCTCTCCTATGATTTTTAATTTTTCTTATGTACTTTAGATAAATCACGGGCCGGGTCAATTTTTTAAAAATAATTTTGGTTCGGGCTGGGTCGGGCTTAATATTTTTTAAAAAATTTTGGGCCGAGCCGGGCTTAAATTTTTAAATAGGATATCATTAAATTTTGTCAAATAAATTGATATAATTTAAAATTCTTGCAAGACTATTAAAAAGGTAAAATTTAAAAAAATAAAGAATCATGTATAATTCCTCAAGAGGATTCAAAATATGTTAATATTTATCTAGACCTGCAAAGGTACTATTTGTATGGCCCGGCCCGGATTTTTTTAAAATATATTTTATTTATTTTTGATTTTTATAGCTAATAATGGCGATTTCAAATATTTGGTTTTAAAATACCCAGCTCGGATATTTTTTTAAAAATAATTTTCACCCGGGTATATTTAAAAAAAATTAAAATACGGGCCCGGCCTGTAGATCTCTGATATTTATATTCTTAAAAAAAATTTTAAATATCAGCAAAATTTTATTTTGACTAAACTAAGAATCCCCTATAAAAAGCTTCAAATTTTAAAAATAAAATATAGAATCGTGTATAACTCTTTGAGAGGATTCAAAAAAGAATAATATTCATATTTTTTAAAAAAAATTAAATATTGAAAAAATTAATTTTTTTTTACTAAACTAAGAATCCCCTATTAAAAAGTCACAAATTTAAAAAATAAAATATAGAATCATGTATAACTCTTCGAGAGGATTCAGAAAATGATAATATTCATATTTTTATAAAATATAGAAAATAGTTTTTTTGACTAAACTAAGAATCCCCTATATAATTAAAAGACTCAACTAAAGAATCATGAATAAATCTTCAGAAGGATTTAGAAAATTTTAATATTAATTAAATTTGGCCATCCAATAAAAGAACAATCATCTTGTGTAAATTTTTAAGACATAACATAACAGAATAATTTTGAAATATTTTCCGAATCGTGTTTACTAGCTTTTAGTTCACATTGCTTACCCTTCTAATTTGCTTTATTTATTTTTGCATAGTGTATTAAATTTTACTTTTTTTATTTATAATCTTGTTATATTTTTCATTTCATTAATTTATTAGTATTTTAATATTTAAAATAAATTTTTAATTTATATTTATGCACTTACTTTAATACTTATGTGTTTATGAAATTAAATATAATGAGATATTAAATAAATCAATTTTATAAACTTTAATTTTCTCCAATTTTACGTGTCATCATCCATATTTCCAAAATATCGAATAATTACGTCAATATCCATAAATCAGAGACCTGCAGAGGTACCATTTGCACGGCCCGGCCCGGATATTTTTTAAAAAAATTTTTTACGGCCCGGCCCGGATTTAAAAATTTCAGGCCCGGCTCGGAATTTTTTAAAATTATATTCGACCTGATATATACAAAAATTCACCTATGAGGTATTTTACCATATTTTTCAGCAAGTATTATGGCTTATTATTTAAAAAATACATGTAAAAAGCTAATATTTTGAGAATATTATATTGAATTTATAAAAATTATAAAACTGTTATTTATAAAAATGGATATTTTGAGCATATACTATATTTTATATAGCATTTATAAAAATAAAACTAATATTCATAAAAATGGTAATAATATTTTGAGCATATACTATATTTTATATTGCATTTAAAAAAATAAAACTAATATTTAATTTATAAAAATGGGAAATATTTTGAGAATATAATATATTGTATTTAATTTACTATTTAATTTGTAAAATAAAAATAAATTGCTATTTAAAAAAATGCATGTATAATAAATAGTATTTTGAAAATATAATCTAATTGCGCAATATTAATATAATTTATTTTATAATATAAATTTTTAACAAAAGAAGATAATTGTATTATATAATATTGTAAAAAAAATAATGAAAAATGTTGGATTAAAAACTTTCATGACTCAAGGTAAAATAAATGCAATAAATATTTGACAGTTTGCAAAGTAAAAAACCAGCATGATTGACGAAACTCTATACTCAAGAAAGATCTTAAAAATTCACAAATTATCATGAAGAAAGAGAAGCATATCTACCTTTTCAGGTTGAAGATTACTTCTTCTTTCTTCAAGAATTCTCCCAGTAGTGGAAAAATTCCGCTCACAGATTGCATTTAAAGCAGAAATTGCCAATACCCGTTTTGCCAATTTTGCTAAAATTGGAAATTTGCTTTGATGAGCCGCCCACCACTATAACAAATTATCCACCTTAAATATTTCATCTATTTTTTTATTTATGTAATTATAATATTCATCATCGGGTATTGACATATTACCAGAATTACCATCGCCCCATTTGTCATAAAACGATTCAGTTTGTTTAACAACAGTCGTAATTTGACTGGTCGATGGTATTACATTTACTTCCTGAGTTTCTTGTAATTTAATATAATCTTTTATATAGTTTTCCGTCATCTTGCGATCTATCCCTGACAACATACATTATTGCTTGAATTTGGGACAGAGAAAAAGAGAAATAAAATGATACTTGTGTAAAACAAATTTTTCAATTAAAAAATGCTTTATATTAAGTAAAATCAATTTTATTTCTCCTTTTTCGCTTTGAAAGGTATTACAAACTTCAAGAAGTTATATTCCTTTATTTGATTGTTTTGGTAAAATATATTCTAAAAATTTAGATATGAATTATAAAAAAATATATTTATAATACTTGAATATTGGGGCTTATTTAAGATATTCCTTTATTTGATTGTTTTGGTAAAATATGTTGTAAAAATTTAGATATGAATTATAAAAAAATATATTAATACTTTGAATAAATTTGCAGGAAATTAATAATTAGATCGATCTGTGGGTGTTAGGTAGTGTTAACCATCACCCAATATTATATTAATCATAACTATAATATAATATAATCTTATAACCATTAACTCATAATGTAAAAATTTTTATAAAAAATATTAAGGCCCGGCCTGGGTTTAACAATCTTAGGCTTGGCCCGGATATATTTAAAAAAAATTTTTTAGGCCCGGCCCGGATATTTTTAAAAAATTTTTTTAGGCCCGGCCCGGGTATATTTAAAAAATTTAAAATACGGCCGGGCTTAGGGTCGGGCCGAGTTTAGGGCCAAGC